GATGGGAGTAAATTTTTTTAACATATTTCGTTACAAAAACAACTTAGTGTTCCAGATCTATTATTACGGATCAGATTTCCGCTATAAATAGCTCATTTTCTAGTAGTGTGATGATGATTGAACCAAGAAATATTGTGAATTTTGGTATCATGGACAATGTCCTGTTGTTTGATTGATTAGAAACTCCCCTATGTTGTACACCCTTCAAGTCAAAATAATTAAGGAAATATTTTTGTTTTAGCGCCAAAACATCATTTATTGAATGTATATAGGACTTTAGCTTTTGATTGTCAATTTGGAGTACCAATTTATAATTCGTCCACTATCACTTTTTATTACATTTTCGTTGTATTTTTCAGACAAATATATAAAAAATTACGAGCACATAATCCAAATTATAAGCCCTGTGACTAACTTGTCGCCAATATTTGAGTATCAGCCAAACCCGGCTAAAATCACTCAGGACGCATCACCTTAGACGCTTTGTGATGTTGATTTTGTTAATATCTTCAAGAAAAACAAGAACAATACTGAAGAAAAACTTGTTCATGGAGATATTTGGGAGACTTTACAAAGTTGAGTCAATGGAAGGATTTTGATATGTCCGAACCCTCGTTGATGATTTCTCACGTGATGTGTGGGTTTTCATGCTAGTTAATAAATCAAAGGTCTTTCAGTGCATAGAAAAGTTCACTGCTTTGAATAAAAAAAAAGAAAAAAACAGTTTGGAAGTGTATTAACATAATTCATAGGGTTTATTCTTTTACTCTTTCAAATCAAAATCATGATTATTCATTTTGTACAATTTTTAATAAAAATATATTACATCATAATACTAGTCAAATAAAAAAATTCAAATCAAGGCCTTATCTCAAATCAATTTCAAATCACAAGCAGACAGATCCTATAGTCCTCTCTTAAAGTGTTAAGAAGGGATCCGAGCATCCAACGTAAAATCAATTGGTGATAGGTGGAGTAACACTTCACCCTTATATACTAGGGGAGATCCCACACATTTAGCAATGTGGGACAATATTCAACACTCCCCGCTCGAGATAATAATCTCAAAAATCCATACAGGATCCAAACCCAATACGGGCACCACGGCTCTGATACTATGTCGGATGCTGAATGACCGTTTCATCTAAAAACTCGAACTATTAGAAAAACTTAAGTCATTATTCATATATCCGCAAACGGGAGTCCCAACATAAAGGCAAGAATCCCTTTGAACTTGTGCATAGGTCTAAACAAGAGTTCCAACGACTTACAGTCTTTGGATGTATGTGTTTTGCCTCTTGTTACCAACTGATCTGGTAAGTTTCATCCCCACGCCATTAAGTGTTGTTTCTTCGGTTACACTATAGAAAAAAACGCCTATAAAGTTTTTGATCTCACAACTGAAAAGAGTTATTCTGTTGTGATGTAAAAATTTATGAAACTGTATTCCCCTTTAAGGATGATTTCAACTGACCTCCTGTGGAAACTTCTAATCAAAGGGATCAAACCTCAATATATGCCTGTCATAATATTTTCCATGGCTGTAAATATAGGATCGATATCAAGGAACCCCAAGCAGACTTTCATTTTCAGATTTCCAAGAGCGGCAAACCATAAAATGAATGAGTGCATCCAGAGAGTCGGGGAGTCCCAAATAGGTTTCAAGAAGATCCATTTGCTGCCCCGGTAGCTGAACATAAGCAGTGAGGATGGCATTTTTGCCATGTCCGATGCAAGATCAGCAGGCCCAAATATCAAAATAAGCTTGTCTCGGATAGAAATCAGAGTTTTCAAGGAGTCTTGGGGCAATGACACGTTGCCAAATATTGTAAGACTTAAAATAGAGATGGTGCATCCATTTAACCAAATGGATTTGTCCAATTGGAGAGTCCAAAGGAATTTGACAAGAAGCGCAAAATTCCATTCCGGGAGAGAGCGGAATCCCAAACCCCCTTCATCTTTGGGCTTGCAAAGCAATTACAAAGCAACCGGGGCAAATTTATTTTGCCAAAGGAAAGTTCGGCAAAGTTTTGAGACGTGGTAGATTACCCTGGGAGGCATAGAGAAAATAGAGAGCTAAAAACAATTACCTTGGGTGACCGAGCAAATCAACTTTAAGTGTCCCGTACAGGAGAGATTACACTACAAGAAAATAGGATTTTTGTAATAGAATTGTTTCATCCTCAAAGTCAATTTTTCTGTTTCTACTGATATTATGGATAGAATTAGGGATAGAATTTATTAAATTTCATCTCTAAAGTACACGTAGCTAACGCCATCCGTCTTGATTTTTGTTAGAAATATGTTATTTATTATTATTATTAGTTTTGTAGTGTTACATCCACTCCATCTCCGAATGTGCTCCGAGATCGAAATAATTAAGCCATCATATTGAGAGACTTTTCATAGGCACGGCACCACAGATGAAATCCCGTAAGCGAGATAATAGCTTCTGAATCTTCAGCTGCTGCACCAGCGGCAAAGACACTGGATTTGGGTACATTTAGCTTCAGCCCCAAGACATTGCCAAAGTGATTAATACGAAGCAAAAGAATGCCAACCGAGTGCGAGTCCCCGCAAGAGAGGTGTATAACATCATACGCGGAAGTTAGATGGGTGATTTTGAATTCCAAGCAGCCCGGATTATAATTTAGCTCCCAATCATGGCTTCTTTTCTTCAAGAGCCGAGAGAAATACTCCATACAAATGATAAAGAGATGTTGATACAGGGGATCACCATGCCGTAGACCATTCTTTCCATTGACTTGCTGAAGACGCATAGGTAGTTTTTTGGGAAGATCTATATCATGTGCTTATTTGATGTGTGTTAGGCTGACTGTATTGAATTAATGAGTAGATCTTTAAAGGATTGCATTATCACTGCAAGAAATTATTATTTTTATAACGAAATTTTTTCTGTTACTAATAACATTAGGGATCGAATTAAGATTAAATTTTGTTCTTATAGTTCACGCTAGCTAAAGTTATCCATCCCTAATTTCCGTTACCTTTTTTTTGTAGTGTATAATTTGTAGTATTATTTCAATAGATTATATAACATTATATTAATTAATATGATGTTGATTTTATTTGATTAAATATAAGATAATATAAACTTTACTATAAATATTATTTGATAAATTAATTATACTCAGCTGGATATGATTAGCATATTCGTGTAGCTAGTTTTAATCATTTCGGAGTTTTAATTCATTACAGTAAATATGTGATTAGATTGTATAAAATAATATTATCGAGTCTAACGATAAAGATAACACACCTCTAGTGTACAAATATGCTTATTCATGTTTTTGTAAATAATTACAGTCATTGCATTGTTTATAGTCTTATTTGGTGTGCTCTTCCTATATATTTTTAAATTTCAATAAAAATTGATTAACGACCATGGTCATCATATCGAATATCTTGGAAAAAACAAAACATAAAAAAAAATAAAAGAAAAAGAATTAGCATAAGACTCTGATGTCAATTGAAATAGCCGAACAAAGAGTATTTGTAAAAGAAAATTAAAAATAATTTATTAATAAAAACAAAAATGGAATATAGGTTTAGAAATCCTAGAGACAACAAAAAGAAATCCAAAATAAAAACATAATAATTTGAAAAAAGACATAAAGAAGAAAAACATGGTTTTAAAACCCTAAAAAATCTTGAATGGCTCAAAAGGTTGGACTGTTTCAGATATTAGGATGTGTAAATTTCGTTCGATTTTGAATAAGAAAACAGAAAGACAAAAATTTAGACAAATTAAATGAAGAATATTTTGAAATTGAAACTTAATATGGTATTAATTAGTCCTAAATATATTATGATCTTTGATTGTCCTGTCCTAGTGAGGAATGTGTCACGGGTGATGCACAATCCACAGAATAATACAAAATGTTGTAGAATTGATTACTTTATTAACACTTGCTTGGTTGGGTGAATACAATAAGAGTACATACATTTATCTGTGATTATTTTAATGTCCAACATTATAATAATGCCTTCGTGACCTAAATTAATATTATTTCAGGCACAAGAAAGTTTGTTGGTAAAATATGATGAATTTAAATTCATCAAACAATTTGAGACTTCAAAATCAAGAAAGAAAAAAATTATACAGGTAAATGTATATATAAAGATTTTGCTAAAAAATCTATTCCTACAAAAATTGGAGACTAAAGATTTTGCTAAAAAATCTATGCCTACAAAAATTGGAGACTAAGATGAATTGAGATATTTTAGATAATTTAGTATATCTAGATTTCATCTTAAATTACTTAGATTTGAGTTCGAGTCTGTGTTGTATTTTTTTATATACTCCTTATTTTGATGATTAAATAAGACAATTTTATTATTTTTCTCCAAAATTTCTAACAAAATAAGTGGAGCTGAATTTAATGAATTTCAGTAAGAATTCTCAATTTTATCTAATCAGAAATCTTAATTTTAAAATTATTAGTACAAGATTAGTAGTGAAAATTTAATCAAGCAATTACTGAGTTAAATTACAAGTCAGCACATGATCCGCACTCCACAGGCATCACAAAAATAGAGAACAATTAGGAACCTCTTTTCCCATAAACACAAATGCAGTTGGATGTGTTTGGATGTGAAAAGTAAATTTTTTAAGTAATATTTGAATAATAATAAAAAAATACTATGTCCTTCTCGCAACAAACCACAATTTTTTTTTTAGGTAGATTTTTTAATATTAATATTATATTGATTTGTAAATAAAAATAAAAATATCGTATTAGTATGATATAATATAAAAACAGTACAATTATTAAATTATAAAAACTTTTGAAACGAACAAAAATAGAAAATGGTGTCCTTCTTCTTACGTTGGAGGGAGAGTATATATGTTTTACTTGATTACTTTGAAAGAAAATGATAGAAACAACCACTTGTAAATGTGAGGACTTATTATAATCGAATACCATAAGATGCTGAGTCACTCACAGCAATTTCTCTTATTTTCTTAATGCATTGACACTTCATCCGACCAGATTCTAAATTCCTTCATCAGTTTTCAAATTTCTGGACGTTTGGGAGATGGCTGTTGCTGCTTATGCATCTTTGGTTTCTCTAACTCATGTCCTTGACGACGTTCGTTACCGTGCTGAGCTTCGCCGCCTTCATGTGGACATTAAAATAATTGAAACTTACCAGGGAAGTATCGATTTCTTGCTGGAATTTGTTGATGTTCATTCAAGAAAAGAAAGTCAAAGAATCGATGGTTTGTGGAGGCAAATATCTAAAGTTGCATTCGAAGCCGAAGAAATATTTGATTTACATGTTGTGAATCAAATTCAGCTCCGATCCGAGGGAGTAAAAGCTGATCTGGGATTTTCAGCTTTGAACAAAGACATCGAAAGAGTGATCCAAAAGATTAACTCCATTAAAGAAGAGCTGTTGGTGGAGGAAGCCTTATTGCAGGTTGTCGAATCTGGGAAAAAACCAAAAGCTTTTTACCATGGTGGTACTTCATTAGCTACTCCATCTGTCGGGAAGAATAAAATTGTGGGATTAGATGAACATGTCGAAGCGATAGTGGATTTGCTGACACGAGATGAACCTGCGCTCCAAATCATCCCTATTGTAGGGATGGGCGGTATTGGTAAAACTACTCTGGCTAAAGCTGTTTTCGATAATCAATATATTGTCAATCACTTTGACAGGCGTATTTGGCTTACAATATCACAAGATTATATCGTGGAGAACATTCTAGAAGGTCTTTTAAATGATGGGAAAGTAAGAACACCTGATGGAGCTGGAGATGGTTTAAGGGAGGCTTTGTACAAAGAATTATTCGACAGACGTTATTTGATTGTTTTGGATGATGTGTGGAGCGAGCAGACTTGGAATGATTTTAGAATGTGCTTTCCAAGGAACAATAATAGAAGCCGGGTTGTGATCACTACTCGGCTTGAAAATGTGGCTGGCTGTTTGAGCCCTCACAGCTCTTACTCGATGACTTTTTTAGATGAGAATAAAAGTTGGAGTTTATTTTGTCAGATAATATTTGCCAAAGAAGATTTCCCAAACCCCGAATTAGAAGAATTTGCAAGAAAGATTGTCAAAAGTTGTAAGGGACTTCCTTTAGAAATTATTGTTATTGGAGGACTACTTGCAAAGTCCGACATGTCTAGAGAATATTGGAAGTCTGTCGCGGACAATGTCAGCTCCTACGCCAATTTTGAAGATGACGAACATTGCTTGAAGATATTGTCTTTAAGCTATAACAACTTGCCAATCCACCTCAAGCCATGTTTCCTCTTTATGAGCTCTTATCCCGAAGATTGTAAAATTGATGTCAACGAACTAATTTGGAAGTGGATCGCAAGCGGATTCATAAGAGTTGTGAAAGAGAAAAGTTTGGAAGACATTGCGATGGACAACATAAAAAATCTCAGTTCTAGAAACCTTATTTTCGTCTACTCACTCCGGAATAGCGGCGAGATAGAAAGGTGCAGTATTCATGATTTGGTACGAGATATGTGCCGAAAAGAATTCGACAAGGAGCAGTTTATTACATCCCCAAAAATGCAAGAAGTGAAATATTCAAGAGGTTTTAGACGACAAGGTGAGGCAGCATGCTTTATTTGTGGTTGTTACACAATGTACAATCAAGATTCGACATATTTTTCAGAATCTGTTCTTTGTAGCAGTTGTCGAGCGATGTATTCACATGTTAGAAGAGCAAGATTGGTGGGGATAATGAGTGATAGCTATGATCGATTTGAATTTGTTCATCCTGCTCGACTGCGACATACTTTTGTTTCAACTCAAGTCCGGTATGCTCTTGTTTCGAATTCTGAGCAGGATATCGATGTTATAGCCAATGCACGGTGGAAACCTGTATTGTCGGAATTACACTTACTTTGGAATCTTCAGATCTTAAAACTACACTTATATTCCTTACAAAGTCGAGTTATTTTCCCGGATGAAATCTGGGAGATGACGCAACTCAGGCATATTGAGGTCTACGGCAATGGAGCTATTTTGCCGGATCCTCATGTTTGCGACGAAGGCTTCATAATTCTCAAAACGCTCCAATGCCTTTACGAAATATGGAATTTTAAGTGCACAAAGAACGTCTTGGAAAGAATTCCGGATTTAAAGACACTGAAAATCAGTTATGATTCTGACTACGAACCAAGTGTGGGATCCTCAGACGACCATTCTCTTTGTAATCTTATCCGACACCATAATCTCAGCTCATTGAAAATATATGGCCTTCCGGAAAACATTGCCTTTCCGAGCTCTCTAAAAGAGCTGTATCTTTACGGAAGCATTTGCAAAATTCCTTGGAGTGGTATGTCGATCATTGGCTTATTACCAAAACTCGAGAAACTTGACTTGGTTAATGCCACGGAAGGGTCGGAATGGAATCCGGGCGAGGGTGAATTTCTTCGATTGAAAATCCTGTACATTGTGTGCAATAATTTAGTGCAATGGGAAGCTGATATGGGCAACTTCCCCGTTCTTGAGCGGCTTAAACTTTTTCATGTTTCTTCATTGAAAGAAATCCCTTCGGGCATTGGAGATATTCCGACATTACGTAGAATTGAATTGATAGGATGCAATATAGCTGCGATGAATTCGGCATACGAAATATGGAAGGAACAACAGGACGTGGAAAATGAGATTCTTGAGATTTTAGTCTGTCATGCATCGGAGTGGATCTCAATCAATGATTTCATAACGAGAAGAAGATGAATGTAAGGATTTACAGGTAAGTTGTAATATAGAGGAACCATTCTCAATTTTTAAATGATGATATTCTTTTTGTTTTTCTTCAGAGAGATTGAATTTCATGTTCTAAATCATAAAATATTTGATGTGTTTTTTGTTGGTATTATATATATATATATTTCTGAAGTAAATACATGTTAGATTTTGTTAAAATATATTTAGCAGCAATATATTATATTTATGGTAGTTATCTTATTTAAGAAATTAGTAGGATTCTTTCTGTATAAATATGTACGTATTCTTATAATTGAAATAGATAATTTCAGTTTCATATTCTAACGTGGTATCAGAGCAAAATTCTCTCCGGATACATCCAGGACCGTTATATCCCATATATATTTTTATATTTTATTGATGTATCTGCTGCTATTCACAATAATATTGTTATTTTCATGTCATCTCTATCTCTACTACTCCACTGACAAAATTTACTTTCGACTCTAACGCTGTTGAGAGTCATGTTTTCGATTCTAACTCTATTGAGAGCGAGAGTCATGTTTCTGACTCTAGCTATGTTGTGAGCGAGCGAGTCCTGTTTCTGACTCTAGCTCTGCAGAGTGAGCGAGTCCTATTTTTTACTCTAGTTACGTTGTGAGGAGCAAGTCTTGTTTCTAACTCTAACGATGTTGAGAGTTTTGCTTCTGATTCTGATCCAGTTGACAACTGAATCACTTTCAGTCAATCTTGGTGAATTCAAATCGGTACGTAGAAGTTCTGACAAACTCAAATTTGTTCGATCATATTTTGAGTTTGAGGAGGGGTGTTAAAATATATTTAGAGCAATATATTATATTTATGGTAGTTATCTTATTTAAGAAATTCGTATGATTCTTTCCTTATTTAGATGATTTGTATATCGTAAATATGTACGTATTCTTATAATTGAAATAGATAATTTCAGTTTTATATTCTAACAGATTTAATACTTCATAAGGAAAAATAGATGTTAGATGCAGTGTTATTTCTTTGGGCTGCAATAAGAAAGTTGATAACATACCAAATTTCTTGAAATGTAGATTTGATGTTTTTCATTCATTCCGTAAGAAATAATTCTCAAATCAAATATGTTATAGGTTGATGCATTGCATTCATAGATAACATACCAAATTTCATACCATATTCATTCATTCTGTCATGGAAGATGTTAATGTTATCTACGAATGCAATGCATCAACCTACCAAGCTTGTTCTGTAAGAAATAATTCTCAAATCAAATATGTTAGCGGAAGCGAACAACGTAGTTTAAACAAACCTTTGGCCATTGCTAAAATTGAATATGTGCCTCAGATCTTCTTCTTAAAATAATTAGTAGGTCTGAATTCTGGGAAGATAGTTGTCAAGCCTGAAACTCTAGGAAGATGCTGCCAAACTTTTGCTCTCAAATAGCGATAGTGTATTCTAATTTTCTGAGAGTATGTTTAGTAACTCATATGTGGAGTATTCACATTTGATAATGTGAAGAAACCTAAAAACTCTAAAAGCCGTCTATGTGAAGCTAGATTACAGAATAAGTATAAAAAATATGATAACAAGATCATCGACACTACTTGCGAATGCGCAGTAATATGTTGAGAGTACCGGCATTTCTCGTCGACATCTAGAATAAGCTTTCCGGTGCATCCACAGGGTTTTGAGAGATCAAACGATTCATTTTATTTGTATTTGGAAAAAATATCAAAAAAAATTATACACACTTCCTCCAACTACTTATTATTTATTAATGATCTAGTATTAAAAAGAAAACAGAAAAATGACTAAGTTGAGACCGGTAATAATAATTTTACTATTTGTTATGAAATAACAGGTGTGATAAATGTATTTAGGACGATGTTTAATCATATAGCTAGTTGTATTAGTTACAAATAAATTTCTGTAATAAATAAAATACAAAGTTTGACCCAACGAATTTGTCACAAAAAATTTTGTAACTAAGAACACATTTGTTACGAATTTATTGTCGTGGTCGCCAATTTTGTGACAAAAGCCCCATTATTTGATAGTAAATATCAAATTTTCAATTCACTTTTACAAATTTTTACACTTCTTCATCTAACTATGAAATCTGATTTTAAAATTGTTTGATGAATTCAAATCCGACAAAAATTCTAATGCCCGAAATAATATTAATTCAGCACTGCATTATTATATGATCGTCCCGTAAAAAATGGTCTGATGGTATAGAGATGAACTCGTGATTGTGAGGTTATAGGTTTAGGAATTCAGTCCAAGACGTTCTTTGTGCACTTAAAATTCCATATTTCAGAAATAATCTATAGCCTTTTAAGAAACACGAAGCCTTTCCCCTAAACATGAAGATGTAGCAAAATAGCCCCATTGTTATAGAACTCAATATGCCTGAGTTGTGTCATCTACCAAATGTTTAAATGGGATAAAGAATATGACAAGAGAGCCTATTTCTAAAATTTAGACATTAGGGGTGATGAATTCATACTACATTTGAGTGGTCTTATGTTTTTTTTAGTATGAATTTGATTTTTTTTAGGTCATTTTTAATTATTTATTGCAATAGCAAAATATGAGGGTTGAGCCAAATATGTAATTTAATTATTTTGGGCTATTTATTTGCATTGGCAAGTTTCATTAATCTCAATTTCTTTATGTAATCTTTATTTTTCTAATTTTCAAAATTTTGACTTGTATACTATACCTACTTAGGCCCACTTCTTAATGGATTAAAAGTTATAACCCTTGTCCCGTAAGTAAGGGATGGTCTGGTGGTGGTGTAGGGGTTGAATTTATGACCCCCGACGCATCTATTCTATTCTTCTTCCACATTTTCTTTAGAGCCTATTTGACTGATTGAATTCCAATTTGAAAACTAAGTTTTATATAAATAAATTTGAATTACCCCAAATTTAAATTATTTTATAATTTAAATCAATTGTTTGGGTTCAGAAAGTATTGCAAATGTGATGATAATACAAGATTATTTAAAATGATTATAAAGATGATGTATTTTGAAATTTATAACTGATTTTGTTTATTTCAAATTCATTGCATTAGCAAAAAAATAAATTTAATTTAATAAAGTCATTTGAAAATTCTTTAACTAAAATTTTATGTAACCATACTGATTTTTGTGAATTGATAGTAGAGTCAATGTTGAAGTACATTTCATGTAGGACACAATGTTGGTATATCACCTATACTCGAAGGGATCACGAATGAACTAATTTAGATGATTCAAGCCACTCGAGTTTTGGAATATATCAAGATTGAACGAATTAATTCGAATTGAATCGAATTTTGAATACCTTATCGTATTATCGCTAATCTAGGAAATATAACATTATATGCTTCAATGATAACAAATTAAAAGTCACTTATATTCTGAATTGTAATGCACTTGATATGCTTTCTATTTGTCGTCGCTCCAAACATTTTAAACACCAACCATAATAAAAACATCTCTAAAATAGCAAAATAATTCACCATATAATTGTTTTTTCCAACGATGTTAAATTTAATACTCCATCCGTCCCATAACAAAGTATCTATTTTTCCATTTTAGTCCGTCTCATAATAAAGTATTCATTTTTCCATTTTAATCCGTCTCATAACAAAATATCCATTTCCTTTTTTAGTAACTGTACTATCTACTTAACATTACAAATACCCTTACAACTTACAATATATTACACAAATGTCATTACATTTATATCACACATACTAGTAAGGTTATTTTAGTCATTTCTACTTTATTCCTACTATATCTCAATATAATACTAATATTTCTAAAACTACGTTAAAAAAACAAATGAATACTTACTTATGGGACAGAGGGAGTATATAGTTTCTAAAGATCTTTAAACCTTTATCTTTAACCTTCATTACAAAAAAATAATATATTTGTAACTAAAATTTTGTTCCTAAAATTCACATAGGTAACGCAATTCATCTCTAATTCCATCCATAATGACATTAATAACGGAAAAATATAAATTTAAGAACAAAAAAAGAAATGAACATATTACAATCACATAAACATGTTACAATAAAAAAGAAACTATCTGGAAAAGAAAAACAAATAACCACTTTACGAGAACATAGTTATAATCACATAAACATGTTAGAATATGTAAACTAAATACATATAATCAACTCCCGGTTTCGTTATGTTTTCAACTTTATCATCGTATCATTTTATAGAACTTTTCTCTAAAAATACTATTAAAACTAAAATTAATATTTCATTTAAAATATTAAATAAAAAATTATATATTTGAAACATCACATCCAGCAGCTATATATATCACGTCAAATACTTCTTTTCATCCAACATCGTACAATCTAAAACATTACATAATCAAAATGATTTTTTTATCCCAACACCTTGTTATTATTCCCGAACAATTCTATCCACATTATACTCAAATTAGTAGCTACATTTTTATAACGAAAGCCGGAATAACCAAAATAGATTCCGCTAGACATTTCATCAAACACCTTCCAACCATTACAACATTCACCAATTGCAAATAAGCTTATGTTGAAATGAACATCCCATTTCCAAAGATCTACAACTCCTCGTTCCATAATTGAAGTGTCTACCTGAAATTTGTACAAGAACGAGCTTGGCCAGGTAGATACATTGCTTACACACATAGCATTAATATGAAAAGTATGTTTATAATTCCAACAACTATTCATCAAAATACTTTGTGACAGGAAAAAGTAATTTTCTTGTTTCAAAAACTCTATATACGTCGTTCGTATAGTATACAATGTCACAGTTATTATGGACACGATAATTTAGAAAGAGTGTGATTAGTAAATAGTGAAAAATGAATTAGTAAAAATAATTATAATATAATATAAATAATTATAAATTAAAATTAAGATAATTAATTAGTATAATTAAAATTAAAAAAAATTAAAAATTAAAATGTGAATCTTAAAAAGAAAAGAAAAAAGTGACCTAAGATAAGATGTGTGACGCATCAAAAAAAAAAACTGTGAAGTGATATGATACGTGAGATTGAGGAAGTAGTAAAATTTTAAAAATAAATCCGGGCATCATATTCAATCCGTATATTCTCTTCAAATATTTATTACTTCTATAACAATCTAAAATACCGAAACAATATGAAAAAAAAAAAAAAAAAGTCACATGTAAATTGTGCGTTTGAGATTATACCCAAAATCTACTATTCATTCAATTTTTTTCCTTAAAAAATATCAAATCAAATACCTATATATTATACTAAAAATCAATTTTACATTCAAAACATCAAATCAATACGTATCGCTTCATACAACTATTTCAATTCAAAATCCAAACCCCCAAACAAACACACCCTTAAGGGTTCCTCTAAACTACTTACCTGTAAATCATTGCCCTCATCTTCTTCCCTCAGTCGGGACATTAAATCACTGATTGAGATGAACTCAGAGCCAACATCGACAACAATCTCAAGGATCTCATTTTCCATGTCCTGTTGTTCCTTCCATATTTCGAATGCCGAATCAACAGCTGATTTACTACATCCATCCAATTCAATTCTACGTAATGTCGGAATATCTCCAATGCCCGAAGGGATTTCTTCTAACGAACGGAGACACACAAGTTGAAGCAGCTCAAGAACAGGGAAGTTGTCATTATCAGCTCGCCATTGAGCTAAATGCCCACATAAAATATACAAAATTTTCAGTCGAAGAAATTCACCCTTGCATGGAATCCATTCGGACCCTTCAGTGGCACGATCCAATTTAAGTATCTCGAGATTGGGTAATGAGCCAATGATCGACATACCACTCCAAGGAATTTTGCATCTGCTTCTGTTCAGATACAACTCTTTTAAAGAACTTGGAAAGGAAATGTTCTCCGGAAGCTGATATATTTCCAATTTCCGAAGATTTTGGAGTCGGATAAGATTACAAAGAGATTTCCCCGAACATCCAATACTTGCTTCATACTTAAACTTATAATTGATCTTCAGTATCTTTAAATCCGGAATTCTGTCGTAGACATTCTTTGTACACTGAAAATTCCATATGTCAGAAAGGCTTTGGAGCCTTTTGAGAATAGTGAATCCTTGAGGATCTGGCAAAATTGCCCCTTCTCTATTGACTTCGATATGCCTGAGTTGTGTCATCTCCCATATTTCATTCGGAAAAACGACTGGACTATACATGGAATATAGGTGTAGTTTTAAGATCTGAAGATTCCAAAGAAAGTGTAATTCGGACAACATAGGTTGCCAATGTGCATTGGACGAGATATCCCACCTTGGACTCAAAACAGAAGCATATCGGGCTTGAGTTGAAACAAAAACATGCGGCAGGCGAGTAGGATGCAAGAAATTTTTAGAGGTTTCACTCATTATCGCCACCAATCTTGCTCTAGTAACATATGAATACATCACTCGACAACTGTCACAAAGAATAGATTTTGAAAAATCTATCAAATATTCGTTGCATGTTCTATAACGACAACCACAAATAATGCAAGCCGGCTTGTCGAGTATATCTAAAAAACTAGATAACCCCATTGTTTGCACCTTTGGGGATGGTATAAACTGCTCCTTGTCAAACTCTTTCCGGCACATGTCTCGTAACAAATCATGAATCCCACACTTTAATTTTATCATACCGAACTTCTGGATTGAGTGGACAACAATTAGATTCCTAGAACTGAGATCATTGATGTAATCCATAGCAATGTCCTCCAAACTTTTCTCATTCACGGCTCTTATGTATCCGCTAGCAATCCATTTCAAAATTAGTTCGTTGACATGAATCACAGAGTCTTCGCGATAAGAGCTCATAAAGAGGAAACACGGCTTGAGGTGGATCGGCAAGTTGTTATAACTTAAAGACAATATCTTGAAGCAATGTTCACCATCTTCAAAATTAGCGTAGGAGCTCACATTACGCGCAACAGACATCCAATATTCTCTCGACATGTCGGACTTTGCAAGTAGCCCTCCAATTACAATAATTTCTAAAGGAAGTCCCTTACAACTTTTGACAATCTTTCTTGCAAATTCTTCTAATTCTTGGTTTGGGAAATCTTCTTTCCCAAAGATTGTCCGACAAAATAAATTCCAGCTTTCATTCTCATCTAAAAAAGTCATCGAATAAAAGTTGTGATGGCTCAAACAGCCAGCCACATTTTGAAGCCGAGTAGTCATCATAACCCGGCTTCTATTATTGTTATTCGGAAAGCACATTCTTAAATCATTCCAAGCCTGATCACTCCACACGTCATCCAAAACAATCAGATAACGTCTATCAAATAATTCTTTGTACAAAGCCTCCCTTAACCCATCACGAGATGCGTAACGTTTTTTAATTTTCCCATCATTTAAAAGACCTTCTAGAATGTTCTCCACGGTATACTCTTGTGATATCGTAAGCCAAATACATCTATCAAAGTGATCGACAGTACATTGGCTATCAAAAACAGCTTTAGCTAGAGTAGTTTTACCAATACCACCCATCCCTACAATAGGGATGATTTGGAGTGCAGGTTCATCTCTTGTCAGCAAATCCACAATCGCTTCGACATGTTTATCTAATCCCACAATTGTATTCTTGCTGAGGGCTGGAGTAGCTAACGAAGCTTCCCTGCTTAATGAATTGATGGGCTGTCTTCCAGTGAGCATATCTTCTGAGGTAGCCATCGAAGTACCACCATGCTCAGAAACTTTTGGTTGTTTCCCAGATTGGACTTCCTGCATTAAGGGTTCCTCCACCAACAGCTCTTCTTTGATGGAGACAATCTTTTGGATCAATCGCTCGATATCTTCATTGAAAGCTGAAGATCCCAGATCAGATTTTACTCCTTCAGATCGGAGCTGAATTTGATTCACTACATGTAAATCAAATATTTCTTCTGCTTCAAAGGCAACCATAGATATTTGCTTCCACAAACCATCGATCCTTTTACTTTCTTTTCTTGAATGAACTTCTACAAATTCCAGCAAGAAATTGACACTTCCCTGGAAACTTTCAATTATATTTATGTTGACATGAAGGTGACGAAGCTCAGCACGGTAATGAACGTTGTCAAGGACATGCGTAAGAGAAACCAGCGAAGCATAAGCAGCAACAGCCATCCCCCAAACTTTCAGAAATCTGAAACTGATGCACGAAATTAAAATGGAATTTGGCCAGATCAAGAACCAGGAGAAGTATGATTAAAGAGTAAATGACTAGCCTTAATCGTCACAATAATTGACATGTAACAAAAAGTGAATGTCATACAGTGCAGTGTGTATGCATCATAATAATTCCAAGACTAAGAAAAAGTGAACATCGTAAAGTCTGAATGTACTAACAAAAGAAGAGAAAAGTTTGCAATGTGTGTGGCTCAAAGATGGAATCCAATGTATTAAAGACCCCACAAATTGGAATTGTTGCTACTTCTATTTATTTCACTTAATTCCAAACAGATATCTAAAATATATCTATGTAATATACATATATATTATTCTATATTCTAGTGTGGAAGTGATCTTGTACTTAATACATAAGCAGGTATGGGTAAGTAGTTTGGTTATAACCATCAACTAAAGTAAGAAAGTAATATTCTCCCAAATGTGATGCAGTGTAATATAAATCTCAAATATCACAATGTAATAAATCAAATATGACCCTTTTTCCATTTTCAATGAACACAATCTAAATTGTTCAACTACCTAGAAACTATGATATTCTTCAATATAAAGTAACCTTGAAGTATCATTAGCATTAGGCGATCGAAGATATTCAGCTGAAAAAATCTCAACGATGGCATGACAAAATCTCTTAATACGTTTGATTCGCGTTGATTCACCAATTTTAATGTACTAATTAATTATGCCATATGTTAACACCCGGAATAGTTATCTTTGTAAGGTTAACAGCCCAAGTCTACCAAGACTATCTCTTCATTGTTGAAAATGCATGATCTTTAACTACATCAACAATAAGAAGAAACAGACTTTGAGACATTCGAAATAGTCAACAAACTATTTGCTAATTATATAGATGATTATTTAAAAAATAATCATTATATAAATTTCGATCTAAACTTTCATGATTACAATTAATTACTAAATCACATGGGATAGAGCTTCAATGGGTTGATTGAGAGATGTTGAGTAGATGTTCGAGATAAGAATTATTTTGCATCCGTATGAATATTACTACTTCGTCTTATTAAATGAATTGCATGAAAATTATTATGAAGAGTAACTCATACCGAAGAAATTATTTGTTTTCATAGGTGAAATATGTGTTTGATGAATAATCTTTGGCCAAATGAACACTAATTTATAGAATGAAAAGCTTAAATGAAATTTCAATCTACGGTAATCATTTGGATAATATAGATACATATTATGTGTGGATGAAATAAGGATGAAATTCAAACCATCGGCTTGCTCAAATGTGGATAACCAACTTTTATAAAATATAATAATTGTTTGGATAATAGAGATATGCCTCCAACGTATGAAATGAAGATGGAATCCAAACCAACCGTTCAAATTATTCAAAGTTGGATGATTACATTTATGATAAATATGATTGATGAAATTTTTTTAATATTTACATAGTCAAATATAAAATAAGTGGTTGACATTGGTCAAAAACTGTTGATAATGTTTGATTTTTATCGGCAGCTAGGGATTGTGAAATCTATACATACGAACTATTTGGATTAATCCTTTCCATAGATAAGATTTGATATTCATTAATATTTTTGGTCTATAAATATAACTTCTCATTTTTATTTAATTACACCACAACATCTTACTTCTCATTCTAATATCATAAAAGAATATTAAAAACTTTTCTCGAAATGTTAATCCGAGGCTGTGGTATAGCCGTGATGAAGATGTATTATTATGCCAACAATATTTGGATATATCAAAATATACAATTACTGGCAGGCAACAACAAGGGATCAATTTTGGAATGAAGTCACGGATGCATCTAACCAAAATAAAAATACCGATTGTGAGATGCATAACGTTAGATCTGTACAAAATCGGTTCTAGGCCATAGAGAAAACTGTTCAAAAATTACTTACTTGCATTAGAAATGGACATTGTAAGTTTATCCCTAAAATTTGTTGTTGACTATTTTTTATGTAAGAAAATTATGTTATAACTTCAAAATCTTATTTACCTTTAAATCAAACAAATGAGATACTAATGAAAAGATATGCAAGCTTCAAAAAAAAGTTTTAAATTTGAGCACATTTTGAACTTCTTAAAAGAGTTTGAAAAATGTAATGATCACAATAAAGCTAGAAATTCATATGAAATATCTCCAAAAAATTATTCCACTCATATATCATAATCGGATAATATTATTTTTTAATCTCTTAAAAATTCATCATTTGTATTAACTAGGACTTCTGGATCTTTATATGAACGACATATGGAGGGTGAAAAAAATATTTTAAATATTTTCTTTTGAAAAAAAATAGATAAATAAATAGTTGATCAATAATTTATTTTATAGTTTTTATAAAAATCAGATAATAATTTGTCTCCAAACACTATAAAATGAAGGAGTAAATAATTATTGATTTACTTATTTTATTCAAAAAAATTTATTTAAGATATTTTGCGTTTTTCTCTTTATAAAACTTGCCCTAATTTAGATCTTTATTTAGAACCAAATATTGGACAAGGAGGGTGTTTCGCGGGTGTTTTGTGCATTTTGATTAAAACACAGGAGAGTGTTATATAATTTATCCTAAAAATAAAATCTACATTCTTCTTCAAATGTAGTTTTTAAATATTTTATTGATATTGGTGAGGTGCAAATTATGATATTAAGCCTTATTAAATTAGAGTATTTTAATGTTTTATGTAATTTTTATTTGATCTATACATAATTTATATTTCAAGTAATAAATATTTCAGTATTTTAATTTATTAGTTACATAATTTTATAGAATATAGTAATGCATTTTGTTGCCAATTTTTTATAAATTCAAATTTAGATACAAAAAGTAAATATGTAAAATAAATATGTTTTTAATAACTATTGAACATATATACCTAAATTATATATATATATATATAAATCTTAATGAAAAAATACAAAATAATTATTTTCAAAGCAACAAAATTACAAAATCATTTTTCAAAAAATAAAATTACACATCACATCCCAAAAATTAATAAAATTGCACATCACATCACATAATTATTTTATTAGTGTCTTTCATTTGTTGTCGAATAGCTTCTGCTGCTGTCAAATGGCTCCTGAACTACAATTCACACTTTACCGTTGATGCTCACAAACTAGAGCTGAGCAATAGGTTGATTCGTATCGGATTGAATACTTTAAACAGGTTAAATTATTCAATCATAACCCAATTCGTTTATTATCATATCGGGTTCGTGTTGACCCATTTATTATCGTGTCGGGTTCGGGTTAACTCGTGCTGACCCGTCTATATATTCTTGATTCAAATTAAATAATTTTTAGTTGTGTTGTCGTGTTATGTTAGTTTTTATTGGTTCGAGCGTAAATTAAATTAAGTTGAATTATTTAAAATTGAACTTAGTTTAAATTAATTTATGAGAAAATTAATAAATTATTATTATTTTACGTATATAATAAATATATTAATCAATATTAATATATTATAATCGGGTTGTCTTGTCGGGTTCGAGTTTAGAGTCTCAACCCTAACCCGACCTGTTTATTATTGTGTCGGGTTCGTGTCAATCCGTATACATAATCGGGTTGAATATTTGACCCAAACCCAATTATTTTGTGTCGGGTCGTGTTGGGTCAGTTTCTGTCAGCTCTATCTCAAACACATGCCTACTCTTCCAATTTTGTGTTAATTTTGTGTTAATTTTTTTTTTTTTTAAATCTCGACTCTTGGACCTTAAAAAGATCAGCTGCGGTCGAAATTGTTAGGCTCTAATCATATTTTCATTAATTATTCGGGTTTTCCATCAATGTTTTCAAAAAAAAAAAATCTTAACTTGAAAATATGTCAAATATGCATAAATTCAATAGAATTTATACCAAGTCAGTTCAAATACTTCTAAGAATATCAACAAATAAGATGCATAAAATGCAAGGTGTCAAGTGACTTAGGGGTGGAAATAGGCCAGACTTTTGGCTAAACATAGACCAGATGTATTTTAAAAAACTAAGGATTGAGTCTGGCCTAATAAAAAAATTATACTGTCTGAGCCTAGCTATTTTTAAGTCTAGGAGCCTATTTAAAAGTCTATATAATAATTAATTTTTTATTTTTTAAAATTTAATATTAGTAAAAAAATATAAATGCAATTATTATTTTATGTATATATAATTATAGTTACAACTAATCAATTTTATATTTGATTATTATCACTAAATTAATTTTTTTAATTTAAATATATAATAATTTTATATATTAAATTAAAATTATATATATAAATAAACCGGCCTAATAAACCTAAGAAACTTTATGTAAAGCGTCTATTCTAATTAATTAAATAGGCTTTAAAATAAGTTTATATCAAATTATTTGAATAAATAGACCAGGCTGAGCAAGGCCAGGCTCCTGGTAGGCAGAGTGGCCTATTTCCACCTTAGTGTCAAGCAACATAACCTTAGGGATCTCTAATGGGCCCATCTAATATGAGGTTCTTGTCACTCTACTAGTCTTTCCGTTGTCTTTATGTCCGGCTTCATGCATACGATAAAATTGAGCAACACGCTTGTAGGCCTACTACAATAAATTGATATCCAACACAAGTAATGTTTTTTGAATCCTATGCCGCAACATGTCCACATAATGGTCAATTCGGCCTCTCTCACATTACGGGTGTGTTTGTTTTGGGATTTGGATTTTGAGTTAGAATTTGAACAGTAAAAATTTTGAATTTGAATAGTTGTTGATATAAATAGGTGTTGACGTGATATTTTCAATGTAAAATTAATTTTTTTGTACAATATAAAAAATGAAAAATAAATGTTTGATTTTATATTTTTTGGGGGAAAAAATAGGATGAATAGTATATTTAAAATCCAACCCACAGACAAACACACCCGAAAAGTAGTTATAATATACGCCTAAAGCTCATTGAACTTCACAAAAAACACACCATAAAACAAAAAACACACAAAATATTTTATATTTAAAACATGATATGCAATACTGATATTCTACTCCAATATTTAGTATATGTTTCTTTTGATATAGTTCGGAAAATTTGAGTTTGAATTTGGTATTAAAATAATATATGATGGGATGTTTTGTGAGAGAAAAAAAAAATATTTTTAAATAGTAAAAACCCGGGATTTGAGGTTAAAGAAACAAACCTTAAAGTTCTTCTAAAACAATCCAAAATACTGAGATGATTTATATTTTTTCTGAAACACTTGGAATATCATCATATATAAGAATTAAGCAATGGTTCCTCTAAAGCACTACCTTATTACCTGTCTCATCACACATACTGAAGTTTAAGCCACTTAGAGTACCCTGCATGTAAATCACTGACTAGGAGGTGATCGACAAAAATCTCAAGGGTCTCATTTCCCATGTCCTGTTGTTCCTTCCAAATTTCGAATGCCGAATTATTAGCAGATTTACTGCATTCTCTCAATTCAACACTACGTAATGTCGAAATATCTCCAATGCATAAAGGGATTTCTTTCAATGAAGGAACAAAGTGAAGTTTAAGCAACTCAAGAGCAGGGAAGTTGTCCTCAGCAGCTTGCCATTGCACTAAATTCTTGCATCGAATGTACAAGTTTTTCAATCGAAGAAATTCACCCTCTCCTGGATGCCATTCGGACCCTTCTGTGGCATAAACCAATTTAAGTTTCTCAAGATTGGGTAATGAGCCAATGATCGACATACCACTCCAAGGAATATTGCATATGCTTTCTGTCAGATGCAACACTTTAAGAGAGCTTGGAAAGGCAATGTTCTCCGGAAGACGATCTATTTTCAATGACCGAAGATTCTGGAGTTGGATAAGATTACAAAGAGAATGGTTGTCTGAGCTTCCAATACTTGCTTCATAGTCAGAATCATAACTGATTTTCAGTGACTTTAAATCCGGAATTCTGTCCAAGACATTCTTTGTGCACTTAAAATTCCATATTCCGGAAAGGCTCTGGAGCCTTTTGAGAATAATGAAGCCTTCTCCCTCAACATGAGGATCGGGGAGAATAGCTCGATTGTAATAGACCTCAATATGTCTGAGTTGTGTCATCTCCCAGATTTCATCGGGGAAAACTACTCGACTTTGCAAGGGATATGAGTGTAGTTTTAACATCTGAAGATGCCAAAGTAAGTGTAATTCAGACAATACAGGTTTCGACCATGAATTGGTCCAAACACCCCACTCTCGACTCGAACCAATTGCATACCTGACTTGAGTGGAAACAAAAACATTCACCAAATGTAATTGATCATAGCCACTACTCAATATACTCACCAGTCTTGCCCTTGAGACGTGCATATACAACATTCGACAATCACCACAGAGAGCAACATTTGAAAAATCTATCATATGTTCGTCGCAGGTTGTATAATGACAACCACAAATAAAGCACGTCGGTCCCTCGCCTTGTCTTTCAAAATAATTAGAATATTTCACTTCTTGCACCTTTGGAGATGAAATAAACTTCTCCTTGTCGAATTCTTTCCGGCATAGGTCTCGTACCAAATCATGAATACTGCAACTTTTTATCTCACCACTCCACAGGACTGAGCAGACAAGAATTAGGTTCCTAGAACGGAGTTCTTTGATATTATCCATAGCAATGTCATCCAAGCTTTTCTCATTCACAGCTCTTATGAATCCACTAGCAATCCACTTCCCAATGAGTTCGTCGACATCAATTTCACAATCTTCAGGATAAGAGCTCATAAAGAGGAAACACGGCTTGAGCTGGATTGACAAATTGTTGTAACTTAAAGCCAACACATTCAAGCAATGTTCCCCATCTTCTAAATTAGCGTGGGAGCTGACATTGTCCGCGACAGACTTCCAATATTCTCTAGACATGTCGGACTTTGCAAGAAGTCCTCCAATAACAATAATTTCTAAAGGAAGTCCCTTACAACTTTTGACAATCTTTCTTGCAATTTCCTCTAATTCTGGGTTTGGGAAATCTTCTTTCCCAAAGATTGTCCTACAAAATAAATTCCAGCTTTTATTCTCATCTAAGAATGTCATCGAATAAGAGTAGTGAGGGCTCAAACAGCCAGCCAAATTCTCGAGCCTTGTAGTCATCAAAACCCGGCTTCTATTATTGTTATTAGGAAAGCACATTCTGAAATCATTCCAAGTCTGCTCACTCCACACATCATCCAAAACAATCAAATACCGTCTGTCAAATAATTCTTTGTACAAATCCTCCCTTAACTCATCACAGGCTCCTTGACGTGTTCTAGCTTTCCCATCATTTAAGAGACCTTCTAGAATATTCTCGACAGTATACTCTTGCGATATTGTAAGCCAAACAAGTCTATCAAAGTGATCGACAATACATTGGCTATCAAAAACAGCTTTAGCTAGAGTAGTTTTACCAATACCACCCATCCCTACAATAGGGATGATTTGGAGTGCAGGTTCATCTCTTGTCAGCAAATCCACAATCACTTCGACATGTTTATCTAATCCCACAATTGTATTCTTGCTGATGGCTGGAGTAGCAAACGAAGCTCCCCTGCTTAAAGAATTGATGGGCTGTCTTCCAGTGAGCATATCTTCTGAGGTAGCCATCGAAGTACCACCATGCTCAGAAACTTTTGGTTGTTTCCCAGATTGGACGTCCTGCATTAAGGATTCCTCTACCAACAGCTCTTCTTTGATGGAGAAAATCTTTTGGATCAATCGCTCGATATCTTCGTTGAAAGCTGAAGATCCCAGATCAGATTTTACTCCCTCGGATCGGAGCTGAATTTGATTCACTACATGTAAATCAAATATTTCTTCTGCTTCGAAGGCAACCTTAGATATTTGCCTCCACAGACCATCGATCTTTTGGCCTTCTACTCTTGAATGAACTTCAACAAATTCCAGCAAGAAATTTACACTTTGCTGAAAAGTTTCGATATGGTTTATGCTGACATGAAGGCGACAAAGCTCAGCACGGTAATGAATGTCGTCAAGGACATGAGTAAGAGAAACAAGGGAAGCATAAGCAGCAACAGCCATCTCTCGAACTTACATAAATCTGAAAACTGATGAAAGGAAATAGAATTTGGTCGGATGAGGAACAAAGAGAAATATAATCGAAGAGCAAATGATTAACTAAACTCGAATCGTTATTAAAATGTAAAAAAATTAAAAGCGAAAGTTATAAATGTGTATGCACAAGAAAAAGAAGGAATAAGTTCTCTATGAGTGACTGATCAGCATCTTATGGAATTCAATTATAATAATCTTCACATTTATGAGTGCTTGGAGAAAGTTGAGTTCGGCTTATTTAAGGTCCTCAATATGTCGGTCTCTCATTATCTATTATTTTTTTACCTAAAAGTTCTTACATAAATTACCTATTTCTTTTATTAAATGTATAATTTTAAAATTTTATTTTTTATTCAAAATATTATTTCAAACATCTACCCTTATGTGCAATTGGAGGTATGCGAAATTTACACATGCACATGTAGGATGTAGAAAAGCTCGAACTGTTAGGAAAATACAGCCATTACAAGAGTTGTGAGGGCTCAAACAGTCAGCCACATTTGCAATCCGAGTAGTCATCATAACCCGGCTTCTATTATTGTTATTTGGAAAGCACATTCTTAAATCATTCCAAGCCTGCTCACTCCACACGTCATCCAAAACAATCAAATAACGTCTGTCGAATAATTCTTTGTACAAAGCTTCCCTTAAACCATCACAAGCTCCATCAGGTGTTGTCACTTTCCCATCATTTAAAAGACCTGCTAGAATGTTCTCGACAGTATACTCTTGAGATATTGTAAGCCAAATACGCCTGTCAAAGTGATCGACAATACATTGGCTATGAAAACAGCTTTAGCTAGAGTAGTTTTACCAATACCACCCATCCCTACAATAGGGATGATTTGGAGCGCAGGTTATCTCTTGTCAGAAAATCTACCATGGCGTCGACATGTTCATCTAATCCCACAATTGTATTCTTGCCAAGGGATGGTGTAGCCAAGAGAGTTCCCCCACGCATAGAAACTTTTGGATAATTCGCTCGATAAATGCAAGACTTGACGAAGTCTATTATGCATAATCAAAATAACAAACAAAATATGAGCCCTAATGTATTTGCATGAACTTGCATGATTGTAAATGTTTGGAAGATAAGTTTGAAATGCATTATGAATATATGCATTAATATGCACGTGTGTATGATTAATTATATTGTATACATGATAGGATAATGCATTTTTGAAATGCATATTTGAGTGCATGTATACGTGAGTGAATGCATTTAATGTGCAAATTCATTACATGCCATTCAAATTCATTTGAAATTCAAACATGAGTTTTAATGATATGGCTGGTTACATTCGATTTTAAAAAATGTAATTGTCACATTAAATCATCCGTTTCGGATGAGATTGATGGACCCCTCATGAGCATGTCTATAAAAAGGCTTTCGATTCATTCTTTTTAAACAACAACAACAACAAAGCTTATTCCTCTCATCTCATATATATCCTTTCTTTTCCAACCTTCTGGCGACAGTCCGAATTTCCGATGATTTCCGGTTATATTTTCCGATAGCTCTCCTTGTATATAATCCTCTCGAAATAGTATTAGTTCGCATCATTTTAGTTCGTCGGAGCTCCGAAATATTGAGGTGCCACCTAATTCGGAGACGAACGTCGTTTTATCTTTGGGAACGTTGTGCTACGAACCGAAGGCACTACCTGGGCGTATTCGTTTTTTCGGAAAGAGGTTCTACCTCGACTCGACGTGATTATCGAATTATTTCGATAAATTGATTATTGAAATTTATTTCAATAAATTATTGTGATTATCGGATTTATTTCGGTAAAAAAAATATTATTGTGATATCCAATTTATTTCAATAACTGTATTCTTGCAATATAATAATATTATTATATTTCTAACAATATTTTCAACACGTGATCCATGGGCATGTAAACCAACAATGAGTTTGTGGGTTCAAACGTTTGATAGATATGGATCGCCTATTGTGACTTGTTTTATCGGATTTAGTTCGCAGGGAATTAGGTTCAATCGGGGGCTTATCCAGAGTCGCACTCGACGAGTAACGGCTACGGATTCTCATGTTAAAAATATATATATATATATCGAGTTAAAAACTAAATAAGAAAAATTTACTAATATCAGTATGCAATCAATCTTGGCCGTAAAATTAAAAATTAACGTAACAGCTATAATCGGAATTTGAACTGCCCCCTTATCTCTAGTAAGCCGCTTCGAGCGTACTAAAATGATTTACCATTGTTTACGTTAAAATCCCGAGCTATAAAGATTTATATTTAATCCATACCAACCTTACGAGGTCTTAGTTGTTGAAGCACGTCCATGAGTCATCGTATGTTAAAATTCGTCTCCAAAAAAACTATTAAATGAATCGTTTGATAAATTATTTAAGCTATTTATTTTATTTAAAAAAAAAATACTATTTAAAATATTTTACTATTTTCATTTATATAGAATTTGCATAGTTAAGTGTACGCGTACAACTTAACATCAGGATAAAAATATGTTTTATACATACTTTAATTTAACACAACGAATTTGACGTAATAAATAAAACACGAAATATTTTGTATAATTTTACTAAAATACAAAGGTCCTGTATAATGTACCAAAGAAAAAAAAAAAGATGGTATTTAGTATAACAAGTCTTTCTTACTTAATTAAGGCGGCGATCTTGCGCAATCGAGGCCATGCCACTTGTAACGGCTAGTCGATCATCGCCAAAGCTCTCCCGCTCCTCTAATATTTTTTGAGTCGAAAGGACAGCAGACTTGGAGCAATACTCCAACTGAATCAACCTTAGTGTTGCAATCTCACCTTTATCCAAAGGTATATTTCATTCAACATCATTAATCAGTGAAGAACAAGTTGTTCAACTCGTGGAAAATGGGAACTATCGGCATTCCAGGCTAAGAAATTCCCCCTCGACTGGATTCCATTCGCCGTCATACAAGTAACAGTTCTTGAACTTAAGCACTTCAAGATTGGGATACCTTCTTAAGAGATCGAAGAAAGGGTAGATTCGGATGGATTTTCTCGGCAACTTTATTTTATAAGAGATGAATATATGGAAGACCCACGATAAGTTTAATTGGAGGCCTCAAAATCAATGGTCAATGGATAGTGTCTAAGCTCCACTCTTGTTATTAGCCGACAGAAAATAGACCGATCTAAAAATTCAATCCAAATTTGGAACAAAAGAAAATCCATACTTGAACTTCTAAAAATAAACTAGAAATTTTTCGGACTGTGCTTGGCTTGTCACGCTAATGAACCGGGTCATGCTTGGGTCTATGCAAATTGAATTGTACCTAACCCAGCCCGATTTATTAAAATTAATATTTACAATTTAATATCTTTATATGTATAATAACTAATAAAATAATAAGAAAAAAAGGAAATATGACTTGATCGGTTGTGCTCGGGCCAAAATTTTCAGCCCGATTCAAACTGTGCCTATATGGCGCAAAAAAAAAAAATCAGGTTGGCCCGAATTGCCATCCCTACTCAACCAATGCCTACACAAAGCCATCTCCTTCTCCATTTTACTCCCCACCAGCGGCCAGAAACCCTCTTTACAAACCAAAACAAAAAGTAAATTTATTTTTTAAAAAGAAAAAAGAAGGCACAATAATATAATACGTGATCAATATTTCGCATTTAAATCAAGTGATTTGCATAGCTCCATGATTAGGAGCCATTTCTCAAAAGAAACACTACACAGAACTGGAGTTTCCAAGCAAACGAAGATGCCGCTGCTCGACTGTAACACATAACTCAGTACTGAACAAAATAACAAAAAGACAAGAGGGGTGTCACAGAAAATCCATAAGTAAAGAATCCATAAACGCCTGCTGCAAATGTAGCAGTAGACAACATTAAACAAATAGTCTTGTACATCAGATCAAATCCCAATCCTCCTTCTACATCGACAAGATAATTTTTGAAACATAGCAATGGAAACATGGCAGCAACCCTAATGACCGGCTGAATCGAATTTCAGTATAGAATTTGATATAGGAGGACATTTGTGCAGTAAAATTTTGTAATCTATACGATTTATCGAGGGTGATTTCTTCCACTCTAGAATTTTATCGACATTACTGAATGCTTTGCCCTTGACCAACAGAATCTGCACCCTTTTTCACGGTGGATGTACGCTATAACCAAGAAATGTAGATTATTAAAGCCTGAAAATGGCAAAAAATATTACCAACTTGGAATTTAACAAGATATCCTGAGACTAACCAACAGATATAATCTGATTTTCATGTAAATATATGTGGATGAGCATAATCATCATCTAGTAAGAAAGTAACCGGCTCCAAATAAGAAGTTATTTGTTAAGAAACATAAAACAAAAATCTAGTAATTACCATTCTACAGAAATGCACTTGAAGAGAAATTGCTCATTATACTATAATAAAGCAAGGACTCACATGATACACTTCGACAGAACATTCAAGTCCAACAATGATGGTCTTAAATAATTATAGTGCGTTGCAACTTTAAGTGTGTGTTTGTTTATAATTTCAAATTTATTTTAACCTTATTCATCTCTTACGATTTTCAATAAAAATACACTATTTTCTTCTCGCTAAACATAACATCAAACTACTATAAAAACCCAAACTAACATCAAAACTCCAATTTCAAACACATTTCAACAAAGTTCAAATTTATGTCCTCCCTATGTCACTTAAATCTACGCTCACATTTTTGGATGTTGTCATGAAAAAAGAAATTCCCGATTTTCCTTTTAGTAAAAAATCATACCACTTTTAAAATTTCTTTTACTATAAAAAGGAAAAAAAAAGTAACAAAAGTACAATATTAAAACATATGCCCAAAAGTTTGAGCACACGTTTGGATGATGGAGAAAGTATATAATTCTAATAGGCTTATGATGTATTTGCTAACTGAGAAGCTTGAGCATAATTCTAATATTACATGAATCTAATCCATACTTGTTTCATAGCAAGCTCCACATTTGAACTCCTAGATTTTGTCATATCTCATTGGCAGGTTCGGTATGTACATGGCTACACAAAGTTGTATATAACAGTAAATAAATGAAATTACAGGAATAGGTAAACTCAGTTACCGTGCTATATCTTGTCAAAATCATCATCATCAAAGCCATTATCACCATCATCTGAGAAACCAAAGACAGAAAACACCACTAATGATTACAACTTAGAAAATGAATTTCATTATTAAACATCATAAGCGCATGCTACATTCTATCTTCATGTCATAGGTAGGGCCGGGTACACAAAATAAGGTAAACTTAACGGGTCAATAATTAAATTTATAATAGAAACAAACAATCTTTAAGAGTGGCAAACCTTGAAGTTTGAACTTTGTTTATCGCTACAAATTCACACGTGTTAAGTAATGACACAAATTAATTTAAATGTGTAAAGTGTTAACTGCATTATCATATAAAGCATGAAAAGAAGTGTATCCAACTCCAACTTAGCGTCAAACTCAATCAACTATGAAACTAATCGACATAAGTTCTCAAAAATGAAGAAACAAGAGAAGCTAACTTGATTCTTTGATAATCATTTCAGATGGATAAGCAGTCTAACTAACTCTATTAAATTTTCAAATATGAAAGTTAATTGAGAAATAAATGAAGTTTCATAACAAATTAAACCTCTCCATGGAAATGACTTCCTGTTGTTTCAAGAAAAATATTAAAGCATTTCCACCAGATACAAAATTAAAGAATGTGCAAAAGTGATAAGGGAGAAAACAAGAACCTTGAAAAGATACGAGAAAAATCATCTTACAAAAAGATAAACCGAACAATGGCTATAAGCAGATTTATTTAGCAATATCATACCTGGACCATCATCGCCATCGTCAAGGTCTCCCAGAAGAAATACATCCAAATCCTGCTCCGAAGCTGACGACTTTGTATTACTGCTTTTCAGTTTCGAACTCTCATCAGTAGCTCTGGATGGTGTTTCTGCAGATGGCACATTCTTCACTTCGGCCTTTTTAGCCTCTTCAGTAGCTTTGTCCTTTACCTCTTCCATGTAGCGCTGCTCATATCTGTAGGTGTTTCAACAAAAAACATCAGCCGCATATAAATACACATACTACAGAGTCTAAGTGAGAAGCTAAATAACAATACGGAATTTTTCTAGCATAACATCTAAATATCTAAAATATTACAAATTTAAAATGTGATTAACAAGGCCTGTTAATCTAGCTCTGCATAGGTAGAATAAACACTGCTAATATGTAACAAGATAACTTGAATTAACTGTAGTTTATGATATTATGATGGAAAATAACTTAAAAACAAAATGCAATTTAGTATATTATGCATAAAAAAATTTTAAAATCAACTTGAAAAAAAATAAAGGGCAAGGCTTCAGTATGAAGAACTCGCCATCCAAAGGCTTTTCTGTTCCATGAAGCTCAAGTTTTCATCCAGAACTGTATAATCCTTCCACCATATCAAGAGTTTTCACATAATAAAATAAAAACAAGAATTATATAATCAGAATTGTAGCTGTGATTGGGGATTGAGATCTGTCATTACATGTAGAGCTGATGTTATCAGATGCTGATAATAATAGAAAACGACTCAATACTAGTCCTAGGCCATTCAAAGCTAATAGACCAATGATAATGAATATATTTTAAGTTTATTAAGGAACGCTCAATAACTCTTTTAAAACCAAATTATTGAGTGAAAATAACAAACAATTGGCTTAAGAACATGATTTAGATACATTCACACAGCAAAATGATAAACATATACAATTACTGAGAGTAATCCGAAGTGTAGGAATAGTCCAGGGAATCTAGGGTTTGTTTCTTTTACCCCAAAACCCCAAGTTTTTACTATTTGGACTCCGTATTTCCCGAAAAAAATAAAAATACATTTTTTTCTCTCACAAAACATCCCATCATACACTATTTTAATAGTTCTCCACTTCTTGTTGCATCGTCAAATATTGATTGAGCTAACAAAAAGTGCACCACTAAGCAAACTTTAACAGGTAGTGAGTAGCAGGATTCAGTGGTACCTAAATTCATCATAGGTTGAATTATAACGAATATCTACCCTATGCAAGATGCATCAATAGAAATATCCATGTAATCAAATTATCAATTCAACATTTTACCAACAAGTTACATGACAATAATTTCACCTGAAAAAGTCAAAACACAGCCTTTCTCATAGGGAAATTTACTTACGGTGAAACATGGCTGTTAACTAGAATAAAGTAGATTCTCCAAAATTTCCTCTCCTTCATCACTCGGGGGCATAACTGATACCTTAGCTTTGAAATTTCCTGCGAGAGAGAAAATTATCAAGGTTGTAATTTGTAATTTTCGGGTTGCACTGAATCCCGAAACTGATAAAGATGGCAGTTTACCCAATGCATAAATTTTCCAACTACTAAAATCTTCAGGAAGGTTTTCCTTCTTGTGTTATGTGCTGGGAAACTAATTTTAAAATTATTTCAAAGAATCAGAATCCCCTAAGGATGGAAATAATCAAGAAATGCTTAGTTATAAGTTGGATCATATGGATATAAAAATAAACAAGTTTATCGTAATGCTTAATCAAGTTCTTTCTACTTCAACAGGACTATTATTACATTCTTTTTAGTAGATAAAGTCCCTGGTTTTTTACGAGATAACAACCACACCATTTCTTGTATTTTCTAATCAAATAGTTTAAAAGGGAGTGGCATCTTCCAAGTGCCGATGGAAGGCTAATCAAATTTCCCAGATCAGTTTTCCACCTTCACCCTGAAGAAAAATAAGTGTTACTCCAATTGCAAGAAAGATCTAACCTTCACATTTAAGAGAACAAGCTTTGCATGCTTCTCTTGCCATTCATTTAGATCCTGTCGAACATTTGAAACCGTAGGAATGTCAGACATCTCTGAGTCATCTGCACAAAAGAAAAACTGTCTAGCATAAGTTTCTCCAAGTTTTTCCCTCAGACCTCAGAAATTGTAACTAATCAACAAAAACTCGACGACAATCTAGTCTAGTAGCCACTTTCAAGCTAAAAAGTAACAACCAATTCTAACAATGACAGATCGTGGACTAATAACAGAATCTAATGCATAAATTGAACAACAACAAATAACCATGAGATTATCTCCCCTTGTGCATCATGATAAGAAGACTAAATACATTAGAATGTTATGCAATGGGTGTCGTCGGGGTTGTCTGGATACTATATTACTCTAACTTAGAATTTGTAATTGTACATTTTCTCACTCCTTAACATACAAAAGTATTACAAATCCTCCTTCAACAAAACCTAAATATGAAATCTTTATGCCCTATCTACCAAATTCAATGCTAAATTTCTTAAAATTGAGAGGTTTAACTCAAAGGTACACAGATCAAACAACATCACTACAACCCACCAGAATAAATTTCTAAATGAATCAAATCAGGAAGCAGGGAATAGAGCACAACAGCACCTTCAAGCGGGAAATCTTCGAAGGTATTTTTGGTAATTCCTTTGACAAACTCTCTCAGATCGTCCGTAACACCAAATTTTTCGAGATCAGCAGGTCCGACGGCGCCTTGTTGGGCGGTGGAGTCGACCAGAGTAGTGAGCACGGCGGAGGGGGGCGGAATCTGAGCGGAGATCTGATCGGCTCGCTTGAGAGCCTCGGCGGCGAGTTCCTTAGACTTCTTGGAGGCTTCGGCGGCCAACTCCTTGGAGCGCTTGGAGGCCTCCGAAACGACGTCGGAGAAGTTTGCGGCGGCGATGCCCTGGGTGAGCTCGTGCGATTTCTTGGCGGCCTCTTCGGCGAAGGTGCGAGCCCTTTGCCAGAAATCCATTGAATTTGGGGGCAGAAGCAATCAATGGATCAATTGATTGATTGCGGGAATGGGCATTGGGATCTGGGATTGAGTGAGTCGAGGTGTTGGTGTGGTTCTTGAAATGAATCTTGATTGTGTTTCACGTTCGGCGACTCGTCGTCGCTGTGGAATGGATGACCTTATTGGTACGATCGATCGTATCTGAGGAATTAATGTGATTTTAATGGGTAATTAAGCCAATTGTGGAAAGGACGGCTTTCTTTCTATTTATTATTATTATTATTATTATTTAATCTATACCAGTATCTAATTATTGTATTTTTAAATTTTTGATATTTTTTTATTTTACAATTTTTGTTACTATGTTTATACGATAGCGAGTTATTTAAAGTTTTTTAAAATTTACATATATTATTTATAATTTTTTTATAGTGTTAAGTTGATATATACAATTTTTCAATTTATCAAAATTTATTTTTAATTTATTTTATATTTGGTTTGAAATTTATAGTCTCATTTTTTTTTTATATAACTTTCAACGAATTTTACTTTTATATTTATTTTGATTTAAGAAGAAGAAAAAGATAAAAATGCAGAAAGAGTGTAAGTTTATGATTTTGATTTTTTCATTTTCAAGTTTAAAAAATAATTTTTAACATGGTATCTTAGTTATGATATCCGTATTAGGTATTGATCCGGTATTGAATATTATTCTATATGCATAGCTACTTGAAAAATGTCATGAAGCTCCGTAGCCACTCTTAAAGAATCGGGAGGTATTGCAGCTCGTTAGATGTCTTCATTAATTCCCCGTACTAAAAAACATTGTTTACATGTAAGCTCCATTGGAAAAAGGCACGTGCGACAACAAGTTGTACATAGAATTGCTTTGCAATTGGAGCAAATGACTCTTGATAATCCTCTCCAAATATTTGATTGTACCCGTTTGCCACATGATGTATGAGGCACACTCGAGGAACAGAGGGAAGAGTGGCAGGATAAGAGATATTTGAGTGGGAAGTTTAAAAAGGTAGAATGGAGTCATATAACACTGTATTAAGAACCGTATAACCTTTATGTGTAATAAGACATCCTTCAACCCTCTTGGGTCAAGTTTTCCTACCTGAGAGGTTTGGGAACTCGCATAAAACAGAGGCATCCAAAAACATGAAGCCATTGGAGATCAGGTGGAGAATTGTATAAGATCTCATAAGGAGTTTTCCAATCAAACATAGGGGATGGCAGCCATTCCAGTAATATTTGGATAAGCACAAGTCTTTATTCGAGTGAGCAAGCAGACATCTAACAATTTGAGCAATGTGTTTATGTTTTTTCTTAACCTTTCCATTTTGTTGAGGAGTATAAACACAAGTCTTTTGATGAATAACCCCCGAATTGACAAATAACTCTTAACAAGCTATATTGCATAATTCAGATCCATTGTAACTGTGAACCACTTTTACCGATTTTGAAAACTGAGTTTTAACCAACGATAAGAATATAGACAGAAAATTCACAACCTCATATTTGTGTTGCAACAAATAAATTCAAGTGGCTTGAGAGCAATTATCAACTATTGTTAGCATATACTTTCTATTAGTAGTGCAAGGATGTAAGAAAAGACCCCAAAAATCAATGTGAATAAGATCAAACACATTAGAAGCATGAGAGATACTATTATTAAAGGAAGGTTTGTGAAACTTGGAAGTACTACAAACCTCACAAGGAGTAGAAGGAAATTTAGCAAAATGTATAGGTATATGTTGCATAACATTCCAAGATGAATGACCTAATTTTTCATGCTATAACAAAATATGATGTAAAGAATCAAGGTAAACGGAAGAGCACAAAACCTGAGGTGATAACTTGGAGTCAAAGATGTAGAGATTATGATGAAGCTTTGCATGCAAAAGAGTGGAGTTAGTCTTTTGGTCCTGCAATTCGCAACATAAGACATCAAATTTAGCTATGCAGCTTAGATCAGCAACTAATTTGCTTATAGACACAATATTGAGAACAAAGCCAGGAATGTAGAGCACATTGTGGAGAGTAGTGTAGGAAAACAACAGTTCCAAAATGGGTAGGAGATTTAAAAGTCCCATCCGGAAAATGGACACTGAAGGCAAAAAATAGAGGTTTAGGATCCACCAACAAGGATAACGAAAAACTTAAATGAAATGAGGCAGATGTCAGTGACGGAACCAACTTCCGAACTCTGAGGGGTCGGAATCGACAAGTTGGTTCTAATTTTTTTTTTTTTTTATGGTTTCAACATATTTCAAATAAAATAATTTTAAATAAAAAAATTAAATGCTATCAAGGCAACTATGATATAGCAATTAAACAAAGATAATATAATATTATTAGTTCGTAACGATTTATCTAGAAAACATGCACTACATTCATAGTTCAATAACTTGTTTCGAATTACTATATTATTCTCATATATGCTCTATTAAATCATTACGGAGTGCGAATGAGCATCTTTGTTTCGAATTTATCTATGTCGGACAGGAAATTGTTGAAGTTGGATGGTTTCATTGGTTTTCATTTCAATTGATGGAGGTGGTGCTTAAAAAATTTATCTGATAGGTGCACTCAAATTCCGTTCATCTTTTGATTGATTAGAATTTTTTATATTACATGTATAAATATATGTATATATATATTTATAGTCAAATATAAAATAAATAATTGATATTAGTCGAAAAAGTGTTCGATCCAATAGCTACAGTATTGTAAAATCTAAATCAATATTTGAGATTAAACTTTTCAATTGATAAAATTTGATATCTATCCAAATTTTTTGTTATAAATATGACTTTCCATCTTTTGAGTAATTGAACCACAACATCTCACTTCTCATTCTAATACTCCCTCCGTCTATATATAAAGTATACAATTATTTTTAGTGCGATATTTAAGAAATAATAGTATTTTGATTATAGTGGGTAGCTAAAAATACTGTAATGATATTTTTGCCCTTGTTTTTTTGGTGTAAAAGTAATGATGTGATGTAAAGTAGACATATTTGTGGAAAAAAAAATGAGGTATTTAATAAAATATTTACTTTGTAATTGGACGTCCCAAAATAGAAATATGTATATTTTCTAACTGGACGGAGAGAGTATATTAAAAGTTTATTAATATATTTTTTCAAGATATCCATCCGAGGTGGTGGTTATAATTGTGATGAAGATGTGTTACTATACTAACATTATTTGGATATCTCACAAGATCCAATTACCGGAAGACAACAATCAAATGATCAATTTTAAAATCGAATCACTGATGCATATAATCAAACTAAAAATTATGATTGGAAAATTCGTAGTACAATATCTGTACACAATCGGATCCAATCCATGAAGAAAGTTATTCGAAAGTTACTTACTTGCATAAAGAAAATGGAAACCTTAAAACCTAGTAGAGCTTCAGAAATAGATATTGTAAGAGTGTGTTCTTATATCAAACTTCACAAATTTTCTACTATTCATCAATCTTTTTTCCTCCAAAAATATCAAATCAAATACCTATTTTTTTTATTGATATTAAAAGTTAATTTTATATTCAAAACATCGTATTAATACTTATTTATATTTCATTATACAACTATTCAAATACAAAAATTTTACTTTTCAAATATCAAATCAAAGTTCAAACCCCCAAACAAACACACCCTTAGTTTTTTCTTAAATTTATTGTTAATATATATATATATATATATATATATATAAAGTTCTATGTTTAACATCAAAGTATTGCTTGCAGTTCAATCAAATAAATGAGATACTAATAATGTAATATGCAAGTTTAAAAAAATTAAATTAAATTTAATCATGTTTGGAACTTGTTAAAAAATTTTGAAAAATTTAGTGATCTCAAGGAAGTTAAAAATTATATAAAATATCTCGAAAAAATAATTGTACTCATGTATCATCATCGTCCAATAATACTGTTTTTGAATCTCCTGAAAATTTATCAATTTTTGTTAACTTAGACGATGATAAGAGTTGATTTAATTTAAATTATAATATTAGTAGATCTTCATATGAACGTCCCATGAGAATAAAAAAGCATAGCGGAAGAAGAAAAAATAAGTTGGTCATGTTAGTCAAGTTAAAGAGTAAAATTCAATGTTTCTGAAAATGTTATAAGATTAATATTTGCACAGAGAAGAATTTTTGCAACTGAAATAAAAAAAATTAACATTTAACAAAATGACATGAATTTTTTTTGCAATTGAAATAAAAAAAATTAACATTTAACAAAATGACATGTTAGAAAAAATTATAAATATGGACTTAAATGCTATTTTGATTTTGCTTGCTCCATAAAGATAATTTTACATTTATAAAACAATGACATTTCAAGAATTAAATTCACGGTTTCTTCAAATATGTTTTCTCAATATTTCAGTGATATTGATAAATCAGAAATCACTATTGAAAAATAATGTTGGGAGAACAAGCGTATATTTTTTATTAAATTAAATTATAAATACGACAATAATAACAATATAAGTAATGTAAACAGAAAAAAAATATATTTTGTTATTAAACATTTTCAATTATTTGTAAGAAATTAATATTTTAATATAAAATACTTCATCCGTTCAATTCTAAAAGAATTGTAATAAATTAAGAAATAATAATATTTTATTTATTTATTTATTTATTTTTAAAAATAATAATAATATTTTATTGGTTAATAGAAATGTGTAAGAAGTTTTGATATTTTTATCCTTATGTATAAAATAATTGTATTTGTAATATTATATTTGTAATATAGGTAAAAGTTAAAAATATTTAAAAAAAAATACTTTGAAGTGAAATAGACAAAAATAATAAAAAGAGTAATTTAAATTAGAAACAAACGAAGCATTATTTTTTTTCATATTAGTTTTTGATACATTATATAAAAAAATATTTCAAAAGACACCAAGGGTGTGTTTGTTTGGGGATTGGATTTTAAATTCACTATTTATCCCATTTTTCATCCAAAAATATCAAATCAAACACTTATTTTTTATTTTTTATATTTTATATTATATTAAAAATTAATTTTATATTTAAAACATTACATAATATATATTTATATCACATCATATAATTATTTAAATTCAAAATTTTTAATATTTAAATTCTAAGTCAAAATCCAAAATTATAAAAAATTTTAAGTTATATAAAAATAATAAGTTTATAATATATTAATTTTTTTAACAAAATATACGAAAAATTTTGGGTAAAATTTGGAACGACGAAGGCCGGCAACCGGTCGTTTATGCGAACCCTTAACACAATCAACGGTTTAGATTAATCTGATTTAGTGATATATGAACGGCGTAGATTAACCCGCGTTTAAGTCTTCGTCAACACCCGCCCAGGTACTGCACATTTTCAATTATTGAAAGCACTACCTTCAGATTCCAATCGGCCATTTCCACTGTGTGTGTGTGTGTGAGAGAGAGGGAGAGGGAGAGGGAGAGGGAGGGAGGGAGGCGTCTCCAATGGCGGACGCCGCAGTGGAATTCCTGCTGGAAAACCTCAAGCAGCTGCTGCTCTACCACGTCGATTTAATCAAAGGAACCAAGGATCAAGTCGAGAAGCTGGAGAGGGAGCTGCGCTTCTTCAGAGCCTTCCTCAGAGACACCTCCAGGAAGAGTCGCAAGCACGGAGGCTTTCAAGAGCTCGTCCGCGAAATACGCGACGTCGTCTACGAGGCGGAGGATATCATCGACCGATTTGTCACCGATGCCGCCGTGCTCAAGTCTCAAAATAGGTTCAGAAGAGTACTCAACAATCCGGTGAGTCTCCTCGACACCGCTAGAAAAGTGGAGCATATAAGCGTCAGAGTGAGAGAAATTTACGGAGACAAGAACAAACTCGATTTGGCCACCGTTGATGCAGGAGACAGAGATAATGACAAGCCTGAGGTAGTTAATTTTGCGCATAACCATTTGGTTTTTTTCCCTATTTTGGTTCAGAAATTCCTATCCAGTTTTGTTCATTCCTGATTATTAATGATCCGTTAGCTTTATATTGAAATTGATGATCATTGACCTAGGGACTAGGGTTGACTTGGTAGATTAGATTTCTGCCATATTTGCTACCTTTGTTCTTAGATCTTACCTTTTGGGATCACATAAGCTTTATGGGGAGATTTCAAAGTTCTAGGTGAAACATTTATTTGTCAATTTGGTAAAACCTCAAACAAAGCATTTTTGTTTACTAACTTACAGTAAACAATAATTGAGGAAAAGGCCAATTATATATTTTTATTTCTACACTTTTAAAAGCTAAAAATGAATGTCACACCTTTTGGATTTTAGCAGTCGGCTTGGGTTTAGGAAATATGCGATAGAAGGGTTTAGATATTGGTTGAGTAAAGTGGCTTTACAAGATTCAATCTTGCGGCTTAAACAATTTAGGAAGAGAAAGATAGATAATATTAAAGGCATTCTGCGAAGAGCATTTATTTATAATTAACAATATTTTTAGGAAGATATTTGCTACAACTGATTATATTGTAGACACTGATAATTTTCTTATAATTTTCTACTTAATACATATATACTTTTCATTCAAAGTATTAATGTATTCTGCATATTGTCTAATTTATCTTACCGAGATTTGCCTAATACCTAATTTTTTTATTTAATTTCTTGTATTTTAGCATGATCCTGTATGTATTATTCAAATTATGTTAATAACATTATGTTGTATTGGTTAATAAGTATTGCTTTTGTGTACATTGAACAATATAAATACATTTTATAAACTAAATCACTGATTTTAACCAAACAGCTGGCATCTTATTTTCGAAATAAGAGGATTCACGTTGTAGCATTTAAAGATTTTAGAAGTGTCAATGTTAATGGAATCCTTTGTTCTTACCACCTGCAGATCTCTAACTAGTGTCAATCTTGACAATTTTCCTGACAGGCTCCAGTGATTAGAGAAGATAATGTGGTGGGTTTCGAAGATGAGGCTTCAACGTTAATTGGGTATCTCCATGAAAAGACAGATGAGCTTGATGTCATCTCTGTCGTTGGTATGCCTGGCCTTGGAAAGACGACGCTTGCCATGAAGATTTTCCGTGACAAAGCAATCCAATATGAGTTCCCCACTCGCATATGGGTTTATGTATCTCAGGAGTTCACCAAGAAGGATATCTATCTTACCATTCTAAAAAAGGTAATCAATGCTACCACTGAAGACATGCACCGGAAAAACGATGATGAGCTGGCTCAAATGGTCTGCGAACATCTGGAGAAAGGAAAATTCTTGATTGTGATGGATGACGTGTGGACCACTCAGGATTGGGATAAAATCCAAGTAGCTTTACCTAAGAGCAATGGTGCTGGTAAAGTCTTGATCACTAGTCGTCACAGGGAAGTTGCTCAACATGCTAATCTACAAAGAACACCCCACGACTTGCGGTTCTTGAATCAAGAAGAGAGTTGGTTGCTTCTCCAGTATGAGGTTTTCGGAAAGCCTGACTGCCCAAATGAATTAGCTGTTCTTGGAAAGGATATTGCTGAGCAGTGCGGTGGGCTGCCCCTGGCTCTAGTTGTCATAGGAGGCATTCTTGTTAAAAAAATCTGTACAACAGATGATATGAGGGCAAAGAGAGACGCATGGCAAAAAGTGTCGAATAGTGTGAGGGCATACCTAGAGGAAGACCAGGAGGGACGTATGGAAAAGATTATTGGATTGAGTTACGACAAATTGCCTTATGACATGAAAGCCTGCTTTCTGTATCTGGGAATGTTCCCTGAAGACTTTGAGATCCCAGTTTGGGCATTAATTCGTATGTGGATTGCAGAAGGATTCATTCGACGGAAGGAAGGACTCAGCCTGGAGGAAACTGCAGAAAACTATTTGGATGAACTTATTAATAGGAACTTGGTGAGAGCAGACAAGAGGAGGCCTGATGGCAGAGTTAAAACGTGTCGAATCCATGACATGTTGCATGATTTCTGCAAACGTGAAGCTGGAAGTGAAACAGAAAACTTCCTTCAAGAAATAAAAGTAACTTCAGAAGGGATTGATCCTCCAGTTACAAGAGTTCCAAATCTTCGTCGAATTTGTGCGCACTCCAATCCTGTGAAATTTCTTTCTGAAACACCTACTGGTCCTCGTGTTCGCTCCTTCGTGTCCTTCACCAGAGAGGAGACCAGCTTGCCACTAGAAAACTCTTCGGCCATTCCTGTAGCTTATAAGCTGCTTAGAGTTTTAGATGTCCAGCCTATCAAATTCGAAAAAATCCCTCGCGACATGTTCCAGTTGGTGCATTTGAGATATGTTGCCCTTTCCTTCAATTCATCAATTCTACCTGCACACTTTGCCAAGCTTTGGAACATTGAAACTCTTATTGTCAATACGTCGTCTTCTACACTTGATATCAGAGCAGAAATATGGAAGATGAGTCAGTTGAGGCATCTAAAGACAAATGCATCGGCTAATTTACTAAAGGTGGAAGAGAGTGGTAAAGAAGGCGAAAAGCTTCAAACACTGGGTACAATTTCGCCTGAAAGTTGCACGGAAAAAGTTTTCGAAAGGGCTCGCAACTTGAAGAAATTGGGCATTCGTGGGCACCTAGCTTTACTCCTCGGCAGCAAGCCAGTCTCTTTTAATAATCTAGTGAGATTGAGCAGTCTTGAAAAGCTGAAGCTTCTGAATGACGTCTCTGGCAGTCCTGGTTTGGAGTCTAGACTGCATAGCCTACCTTCTCCATACCAATTCCCTCCGAATTTGAAGAGCCTGACTTTATCGAAAACTTTCCTTGATTGGGGTCAAATGTATATACTCGGATTGCTGGAGAACCTACGGGTGCTGAAGCTGAAAGAGAAAGCGTTCATGGGGAGGGTCTGGGAGGCAAAAGATGGAGGTTTCCGTAGTTTGGAAGTCTTGCACATTGGACGTACGAATTTAGCTATTTGGGAGGCTTCAGACCATCATTATCCCAGTCTTCGACGCCTTGAGCTGCATAACTGTGAGGAACTTAAGGAAATTCCACTCGGGCTGGCTAATATTCGAAACTTCCAAATGTTGGACTTGTTCCGGAGTAATCATGATGCAGTTGCCTGCGCCTATAAGATTCATGATGCCAAGGAGCTGAACAACAAACAGCAAGACATCAAAGATTGCAACTTCAACCTGTCGATTTTCCCTCCTCCTCTTCGGATTTAACTGGTAAGCTATACTTTTGGATAATAAGCCATTTCTATTTGCCTTTGATATTGATTTCCTGATTTTAGTTTATTGCAAGCCCTCCTATGAAGCTTTTTAATCCTCCATTTTTCTTAAAAACATTATATTCCCTCGTTTCCAATCCAAAAGGCCCTTTGCGATTTTGTAGTAGATGAAAAAATAGTACTCTCTCCGTTCCACATACTATATCCACATTGTCGTTTCTGTCCATCCCACGTCTAATGCCATTTCTTTTTTTGGAAAATGATTACACGCCTTAATTTCATTTTAAATTTTCTAATTTAATTACTTATTTTAATTTTAATATATAATTATTTATATTATGCGATAATTATTTTTACTAATACATTATTAATCATCTACTAATTATACTTATTTTAAATTTTTACGTCTACAATAACGCGGACATGCAACGTGGGATAGATGGAGTAGTATTTTATTGATTGGTGCAAGTGTATAAGAAAAATTTGATATTTTTGACATTTTTGTTTTTTAACTTTATGTATATAGTAATTGTATGTCTAATGGTATGCTTATAATTTAACTAAAAGTTAAATGGTAATTTAGTATTAATATATGATTATTTTTTCTTAAAATAGAAAAGTTATACGAATATAAGTAAAATAACTTTGAGTTGGAGGGAGTATCCAACATCCATTTTTTATTCAAAGGATCGTAATCCAACATCTGTTTCACCTTTAATATAAAATTTTTTTAAAAGAAAACAAGTAAACAAGCCCAACATATATGGGTTTGTTTAGTGTTGTTTGGAAATATTTTGGTGCTTAGATTGTTTCGGAAATAATAATAATAATAATAATAATAATAATTTGAATAGGAAATAGGGGTATATTCTTATGTTTGTGTGTTGTTTTTACAGGTGAAAAGTAATTGTTGTATGTTTTATACTGAAAATGGGTGAAAACAGAAATAAACAGAAGCATAAATTATTGTTTGTCTGCATGTGTGTGTTACTGTGAATGCTTAGCTGTTAGTTTGCATAGAACAATCTTAATAGAAATTTGATGCTATTCGATAATCACTATTTATTCTGAACTACCAAACAGATTTTGGGATTATACAACACATCTGTAACAATATACAATGAACTCTAGTTCAAAGGTTGCATGGTTAGGTAGAAACTAATGACTATCTGATTCTGATGCACGCAGGCTCGTTTTTGCTGGTCGCGATCGAGCTTAGAAAAATGTCTGATCGATCGATGGGAATCTCTTTGTTGGCCCGACTGGTGAACTCGAATCCTTTTCTTTTCTTTTTAATCAAGATCTTTGAAGTGATGCATTTTTATCCCTCCAGTTTCTATTCCAAATCTCCTGAAATGTTGCAATGTTGTTTGTAATGCTATTTGACTCAGGTAATTTTATATGCATTTCGAGTGATTTTCTACCGTTGTTGCAGTTGTTTGTAATGACATTTCATTGAAGTTCAATGCATGTTTGGCTATCTATGGTTGTCTATGTTTTTATCTTTGTTATATGTATTTAGAATATATATACTCTTTTCGTCCACACGTAAAGTAAACATTTACTTTTGACGCGATGTTTAAAAAATAATAGTATGTAATGATTTTTTTGCCTTTACAATAATGTGATGTATTTAATAAGGGTATTTGTGAAAAAAAAATGAGGTATTTAATGAAATATTTACTTTGTAATTGGGTGTACCAAAATAGATATATGTATACTTTCTATCTAGAGTGATGGAATATTATATTTAAGATAGTTGTTTTATTTAACTGATTTATAGAATTTTTGGACTTTGTGATTAAAATAGATAATTTCAATTTTATGTTCTAATAATCTTTATTTGTTTTGGCCAACAAGGTTGTATTTGGTGACGTGAGAAGAAAATTGAGCATAAACCAAAATCAACTGTAAGTACGTTCATTTTTAGATGAATTGATTTTTAGTACGTGGTACGGGAAATTCTGTTGAAAATATAAAATATATTCTCCCTCATTCCGTTTATATTTATTTTTTTATATTTGATCTTTGAATATTAACTGCTATATCAAAATATGATCAAATGATAAAAATAATATACAAATATATAAGATTTTTTTTTTTTTTATTTTTTTTATATGTTAAGTACAGATTGTAATTAAAAAATAGTATTATATCACTTTCTCCATATCTTGACAAATAAAGGATGCATTATCCTTATTCATAATTTATTTCATGTCTTAGAGATGCACGGGTTCCCATACCCATGTTATAAAATAAAATAAAATCAATAATATTCATCTCGTACTCATATTGATTTTAATAAAAAAAATTACTTTTTTATTCTCATAAAATATTATATTAAAATATTATTTAAATAAAAATACAAATTAATATTTTATTTCAAATCAATTTCAAGTAAAATTATACAAATCCCATATTTGGTTTCTTTGTTTTTTGTTCCAAACCAAAGACTACTATTCATTCAGTAAAATTCTCAACAAAACTATATTATTTATTTTGATCAAACATCATATTAAAATATTATTTAAATTAAAATTTTGATTACAAACTCAAATTCAAATCAAAACCAAACATCAATTAGTTGCTTAACTTTAACATATTATAAGAAAAAATAAATAAATAAAACACATTAACATAATGGATAGAAATTAAGTGAAAAAATAACATTTTATTTGATGTAATAAAATAAGGTGTAAGCAAATACCTGTAAATTCTAATTTAATTTACTGACTCCTCGTAGTTCTGCCTAGAAACGTAAAGATAATGATCAGAAAAAAGAAGAAAAGGTTGTATTCCTGTGGAACGACTAGTTCATATTGTCCAATCAATCGATTTTTTTATAGTTTTATTTTAGTTTTAAAAAAAAAATGAAAAATTATAGGAACATGAAATAAAATATTCTATCCGTCCCACTTAACATATCCACAATTCCATTTTCGTCAGTCAATATTTTGTAGTTTTCTTTTTTTAAAAGAATTCTACATTTTAATTTTATTTTAAATTTTCAAATTTATAAATTTTTTTAAAAAAAATAATTAGAATAATTAATTATGTTAATTTTAATCTATAAATATTTTTATTATACCATAATTATTTTCGGTAATACATTCTTAATTATTTACTAATTATATATCTCTTATAAGTTATCTTATCTACAATAAATGAGACACGATAGCCGGGACGAAAGGAGTAAAAATTTATATGTAACATAAAAAAATCGCTTGAAATTTAAGAAAAAAAAAATCTATTTTAAATTACTCCCTCCGTCCCACATACTATGTCCACGTTGCCGTTTCTGTCCGTCCACATTCCATGTCACTTTCCTTTTTTGGAAAATGATTATACATTTTAATCTATTTTAAACTTTTTAATTTTATTTTTATTTTTTAATTTTTATTAAACTAATTAGTTATCTTAATCTTAATTTATAATTATTTATATTATAGGATAATTATTTTCACTAATACATTCTTAATTATCTGCTAATTACACCCTTCCTAAAATACCGTGTCTACAGTGTAGCAGCCACGGTATGTGGAACGGAGGGAGTATATAATAGTCCATGAAAAGGAGCTCACAACCACACTGGCATTACCATCCAATAACCTTCGAAAGCCAATTTGGCATACTATCATTATTTTGCGCAATAAAATCTATTGTTTGGACTCGCTATATGTCACAAGCTGAAAGTTGTACGGGGATGGACAAATCTTAGGCAGAATGGTAGAGTATGTTCATTTGCCTAATGATGCATCTGAAAGTGAGACTCAAGTCAAGACGGAGATTTTTGTTGATATGTCTTGAAGCTAGTTTGTCAGTTGTTCATCTGATATTGTAATGATGTATTTGAAAATGAGATTCAAGTCAAGATGGAGATTCGTTGATATGCTTTGAATCTAGGGATATGATTTGGAGATTAAATATTATATCATAGATTTAGATATATGATTTGAATATTATTAACATAGGATTATGCTATAAATATGCATGTATTCCCATTCTAATAGGTGGCCAAGCGGCTCAAATATGTAACCTGTGACCTAGATGCCCTCAATAAAATTTGTTCTTCGTTTCTCCACGTAGAGGTAGCCAACATGTTGTTGGTAAACCACGTAAATCTGTGTCTTCCTTACATTTTTTATTTGTTATTCGATCATTAACCTTAATCCGTCACAACACTACCAATATGTAAAGCCTATATAGATAGAGATCACCTAAAGATACCAAAAATTATTACGCAATTTGGAAGATCAAGAAAACAAAAATATGCATAATTGTTACTACTTAAAATTAATCGCTCGGGCCTATTTACCATAAAAAAAAATCAATAGATATGGCAAAGCGTGTCGAAAAAGGAAATTTGAATTGCCTCTAAAAGTTTGTTGATTCACAAATTTACGGAAGCATCCGCAAATTTATGGAAGGATCCACAAATTTACGGCAAAATCCACAAATTTATGGGAACTTACGAATAGTAATGAGGCTCCGCTCGCATTACGGCCTTTTAAGTTTACGGGTCCAAACATCTCAAGTTCAACTACAGATGATATGGTTGAATCTTGATTTTAGATTTAAAATCTTGATTATTAGATAATAAATTTTGAGTTTTGATCGACAAAGATAGTAAATTTTGTTACAAAAAATATATATTTAAAGTTAGAAAATAAATAGATTAATTGATTTTAATTCTTGTACATAATTATTTTTGTACTGAAGGATTACATTCCTTCATGTTGTTAGTACATTAGAAATATTGTATTTGTTCACATACACGATTCTAGACATTATAATCATTATAAAAACTCAAATTTCAATATCTCTATCAAAGTTATTATTATTTTTTTATTCTGGCAATTTATTAATTTTTTGCACTTTTTTTTCTTCCCTAATTTCTTACTATCAAACATTTAGGCACTGAATTTAGTACGAATTAAAGATTTTATTACTCTAAATCCTCCATAAAGAAGCCATTGATTATCATCCGGTTGGAAAATTTCAACCCACCGTAACAATAATAAACGGTAATTTGTTTACGCGGTTCGATCGGAATGATCTATGTTTAGATAACGAGAATAAGTATTTTCATTAGTATTTTCAGTGTATTTTGAGAAATGGTACATCTAGATGCCAGGTCTAGAAATATTTTTCATTGATACCATAATATAATAAAAAAAATTAAAGTTAAAAATAAATTAAAAGACTCAGATTTTATTAACAAACATATAAACAAATTATTTTCTATAATTGTTCTACTTTATTGTTAACATTAACATTAACTAGGTAGTGGTGGCATTTAATATTTAAATGAGACACTATTTTTCTAATTAATTGGACAACTGTCTTTTCATTTATCATTTTTTTAATTAATGGAACAAATTTTCATAAATGTTACTAAAAAATACAAATATACAAAACCATTCAATAGTACCACATAAAAAAATAAATTTATTTAAAAAATGCTGAGTGAACAAAATGTCACTTCAAATTTTAAATGTGACACTAAAAACTTTTAACAATAACACAGTTATTAAATAATAAAAACTTTCTTTTATGGTTCGCCTAGTGTGACTTTTCCGTCCGGCTTGGTTTGCAGGGTATTAGATTCGACCGGGTGTTTACACAGTGCGCACTTTCGGGTAGCGGCTGCGGGTTCCCACGTCATCCAAAAAAAAAAAAAACTTTCTTTTGGTGGAGCAAAATTAACTGTGGTCGATACATATTTTAGTTAGAGTTGTTGATAAGCTCCATGAGCTTGGAAAAGAAATGGATGATTATGCCGAGAAGAAAACAGATGAAGGGCAGCTGCTGAAGTTTGTGCAAAGTTCGACTTGACTGTCTTTTGCGACTCAAGCATCTTCTCAAAACACTCGATATTACAACAGATACCGAACCTTAATTTCCAAATTCAGAATTTTTGTCTAGATAATACATGTTTAATATTCTGCACTGTTTCAAGCTCGGGGACACTACACACCAAAGGAATGAATCAGCCGCTCCAGCTGGTAATAATCGATGAAGCTGCGCAGCTTCAAGAGTGAATAGTGTATTCCGTTGCAGCTTCCCGGGCTTCGCCAAGCTATAGTTGTCGGAGATGAGAAGCAACTCCCTGCAATGGTTGCGAGCAAGGTTCAAATTTGATACTTTTTTATTTGTCATGGAAAATATATTTTGCTTCCTCTTTTTGTAACTCTTCGAATTTTGTTCGACAGATTTTTAAAGAAGGGGCCGGGAGTGAATATCAAGTTGGTCGATGGTTTTCAAGGGGCCGAAGAGGATAAAATAATTGTTGTGTAACTTCCCATGTCCCACATCGGAAGTGTGATAAAAAACAGGGGTATTGACTCCTATGAATTGACCCATTTGGGTTCTATTTTAAAATAGGATAATAACCTTTTTTTTTTTTTTTCTTTAATAACTAGAGAGAGTGAAATTGAGATTTGGTAAATTGTTGGGAGTAGGGGTGAGAGCAAAATATCCGAAATCTGAGAATCCGATCCGAATCAAACCAAAATTTAAAATTTCGTTTGGAATTTTCGGATTTTCGGATTCTCGGACTGGTTCGGATTGAATATTTGACAAATTTTGAATTTTCGGATCAGATCGGTATACTTAAAATCCGAACCAATTCGAAATCCGAAATATAACATTTTCATATATTTTTTACTATAGATATTTAATATTTTATTAGAAAATATTATTTTTTAATATAAAAAAACTAAAAATTATTAATTATATTTTTAATATATTTAATTTTTATATATTATATATATTTAATATAATAAAATATAACAGAAATTTAAAAATTAAAAAAAATAAAAATATTTAGAATTTCGAAATTTTCGGTTTGGTTCGGATTACGGATTTTTGGACCAAATCCGAACCGAAAATCCGAATGCCCACCCCTAGTTGCGAGGAGGGTTTTACAATTTTGTCCATGAAAAATTTATAATACGAATCACGTTAAATTCTATTGTTTTGTTATTTTATTTTTCTCTTCCCTCGTGTGTGTTCACAACAATAATCATATCCACAGTTCGGAGCAACGGGAATGGCTCTGTCGGATTCTGTGTTTCCGGCAATGAACAAATGTAGCTTTTACTTGTTGGATTTGACCCAGGAACGAATCAAAATAAATCGGATTATTCACTACCCAAACCAGCACAACACTTTTGTTGTGTGTTCAATGCCTAAAATATGAGAAATAGAAAGAAAAAGTAAAGAGGAATAGCGACTTGGAGAAGAAAATGAACGGAAAAAGAGTACTTTTACGTTTTGAAGAAACCACGGATTGAGAATAAAATTGAAGAGGTATTTATAGACCGCACGAGCTAGCTACTACTGGATAAATAATAAAATTAATCGAAAATTCTAATAATAGCTACCTATACTCTCTTAAACTTTGGGACCAAGAAATATGCTAAATAATGAAATATACTCTAAAGTACTTAGTCAAACCGTAGCTTGATTTTACGTCAGGATTATTTCCAACATTACTCCGGCGAGCTGCTTGTTTGTCGTCATCAATGTTGTCTCAAATTGTCCAATCGATCACAGGCCTAATGTTTGTTTCTGCAGATAGTGTCTAGATTCTGGACAATGAGGCAACTCGACGAAACAGCTGTTCGATTTGGGGAAAACTGGCGGCGGATACTAAAAATCGACGATGTTATCACAATGTGTACGTGAGAAGATAAAAACTTATTAAGTACCTTTAGTACATAGTAATATCTTTTCTGCATTCCCAAAAAACACATCAAGCAAATGAAAGTCAATAAAGCCTTCCACTATTAAATTATATCTTTAATTTTGTTTTACTATTTTTATTTCTGTTTGTTGCACGAAATATAATTATATACTTTAATCACATTTTAAAATTCATAATATATAATTTTTTATTTTAATTAAATTATTTAATTATTTTAATCTTAATTTATAATTATTTTTTTAGTATTATATTTTTTTAATCACTTACTAATTATAAAATCCCTCGTAAATGAAAATATGTTATAGATCGCCCAGAGGGAATAATATCTCCAGCTCCAACTGTAATATCGAATTTAATTAGTAAAGTGAACAAGAATCTTATTCAAAATTCTTATTTGATAAAGCTGATCATAATGAGTGAGTGGAGTTGGAAGAGTCGCTCCTTAATCTCTTTCTCATTCTCACTCTCTACATTAACATTATTCTTACTGCGACTCCATCCATCTCATCCATGGCATCGTCTTACGCGGCTGTCCTTTCCCTTCTCCAACTTCTTCACGACATCCAGCGTCCCTCTGGCCGTTGGAATAATTGTCTGGACGACCTGCAGATTCAGTTGCTTCGCGATCGCCTCTCTTACTTTATGGCTTTTCTCGAAGACTTTCACGGCAAATCAGAAGCTGCAGACGCATTGGCGACACAAATCATGGACGCCTCTCGTGCTGCTGAGGATATCATCAAATACTTTGTGTCGGTCCAGGTTCTTCGCCCATACATTAATTTAGGTGAATTACATCTGCCGTCCTATGCCAGAGACATTCAAGCAATCATACGAAAAACGGATGTGCTGCTAGAAAGGGCGTTGGAAGTAAGAGATGAAATTGTGGCTGTGGATCACAAATCCATCAATCCTCCAATTGTTGCTGCTGCTCATTCAAGACAAGCAGCTCCAACTGCGAAGAATCCTATGGTGGGGCTGGACGATGCTTTGGTTCAAATCAGGGACAAACTCACTGGCCGGGGATCAAAGCTGGAAACCATCCCAATTGTGGGGATGGGTGGGATTGGTAAGACTACTCTGGCTCTTAATGTTTATAATAATGATTGGGTTGTTGAGCACTTTGACATTCGCATTTGGATTACAATCTCTCAAACATACATTCTGCGAGAAATTTTGTTAGCACTCTCATCGGCTATAGATAAACGTGATATGAAGGAAAAAAGTGATGAGGATATAAAACAGTTTATCTACCAAAGTTTGTTTGGAAGGAGGTACTTAATCGTGTTGGATGATGTGTGGGATATTGAGGTCTGGAACGTGTTAAGAAGGTTCCTTCCTGACAATGGCAATGGAAGTCGGGTGTTGCTAACCACAAGGCTGGTTGACGTTGCAGCTGATTTTGGCTCGGACATTCCCTATGCAATGAAATTGTTAGAGGAAGACAAGAGTTGGGACATCCTCCATGATATGGTATTCTCGGAAGAAGTTTGCCCCATTGAACTGGAGGAGATAGGAAAGAAAATTGCCACAAGTTGTGGAGGTCTTCCGTTGGCAATAGCTGTAATTGCTGGAGTTTTGAGAAGGACGGAAAAGACATTGGAGAGCTGGGAGCAAGTTGCTGAGAATCTAAATGCAATTGTAACTTGGGAAAATGAGGAACATTGCTTTAAGATATTGCTTATGAGTTACAGTTGCTTGCCGCTTCATTTGAAGCCGTGCTTCCTTTACATGTCACGTTTTCGAGAGGATGAGAGTATCAAAGTCTCTAAACTCATCAAGTTTTGGGCTGCAGAGGGATTTATAAAACCCATAAACGGTAAGATTTTGGAAGACGTTGCACGTGAGTACTTGGACCAACTTATTGATAGAAACCTTATCTTAGTTCGCAAGAGAGGGGTTTCAGGTAAAGCAAAGAATTGTGGTGTGCACGATCTGGTACGAGACTTGTCGCTGAAGGAAGCCTGCAAGGAGAACTTTATCCTTGTTGAAAAGTTGTCAAGTAACTCCGCTGTGTTTGTGTGGGGGTTACGTAGTGAGGATGGTAGACTCTTATTGAAATTGTTGTCCTCGCAAGCTTCGTACGTGTTAAACAACAATTTGGTGGAGTCAATTGTGCATCTTGTGCAATTCAGGTATCTTTCCATTGCTAATTATACAGGACGGCTCATGGAAAAGAAACTTATTATGCTACCGTTTCTTTGGAACCTACAAACTATATCCATACATGACTTTGATACAACATTTACTGTACCATCTATGTTTTGGACGATGACACAACTTACGCATATAAATATTAGTAGGAATATTGTTTTACCTGAGCCACCTCCAAAATTCCAATCTTGTTGTACTTTGGAAAACTTACAAACTCTATCATCTGTGAGAGAGTTTAGGTGTAGTGAAGAGATTTACAAGAGGATTCCAAATGTAAAGAAACTTAAAATAGTCTATTTTTCACAAGATGTGGAGGAGGGGCCATACTATAGCCTTACCAATCTTGTCCATTTGTGTAGGCTTGAGTCACTTGTTCTTCATGGGATGGTTTCCATTAAAGACATTTCTTTTCCACATTCTCTGAGAAAGTTGAGACTAGAGTATACTAATATTTGGTGGAGTGAGATGGTGGCCATTGGTTCATTACCCAATTTGGAAATTCTTGTAATTGGAGATGATGGTGTTCAAGGGCTTGAGTGGAATGTAACTGAAGGAGAATTTGTTCGACTGAAAAGATTGCATGTTATTTTTGTTGGTTTAAAGTATTGGAGAGTCGATGAAGGTAGCTTTCCAGGCCTTGAGGAACTCTTCCTTCATGGTATCAAATTGGAAGAATTGCCTGACCCTTTCGACTTTGCTGAGATTCCCAAGCTTAGATTGATCAAGCTTAATGGATGTGGTGAGTTGTCTAAAAGTTGGGCAAAGCAGATTAAAGAAGAATGCGAGGAATTGGGAAACCAATCTATTCAATTAGAATTGATTTCATAGTATTGTAAGATATTG